ATTTTGATCAGTGTTAGCAATCAGAGGATCGTGGTCAATGTCAACAACAAAATACCCTGCAGCACTACACACATACATTTCTCCATTAGCTTTTCTGCTGTCATAGAAGCGCTCTGTTTTCACACTGCATATGCCTCAGCCCACTCTATGAATTAGTCCTTAGCTGCAAGAATATAACATCTCATTCACAGCAAGGCAGCCCAGCAAATCAGCTTTCATAGGTTTCAACAATGTGTCCTTGTTTTATTTAACCCATGCCCAGAACTGAAAGATTGCAGTGTGGCCTGAGGATGTGCTGCTCCACATCCTGCTGATGCAGAAGAAATGTTATCACATCTTCAGTGTCTTTGCTGTGTCCAACTCAACTGCCGGCTCATACACATTGCATCACACTCTCTCTTAAGCTCTGTGGTATCAGCCACTGCCATGTCACCTGGCAAGGAAATTCTCCCTCAAGAATTTGTACAGGATACTGTAACTTCTGCATGTCTAAAGAAGCTGCTTGCAGTATCTGTACAGGGCTGCCATGACAGTATGTACACGTACAGATGTCTGGTGCTGAATAACAAATCAGTAGGCTTGCTCCCTGTCCCTCAGACTCTCTGAAGTAAAGCAGCCTGGTGAAGGAAAAGTCATTGATGTAGAGCATGAAGTCTACACCATATAGTAGGCCTTGAATAGCATAAACCCTCTATCGCTGCCAGGAGATCTCAGTGAGAGACAAAATCATTGGAAACCATCTTGAACTGACAGTTAATCAAGGTCATTGTTACTGCAAGTCTGTGAGTTAAGCTGGCAGTAATCCACGCAGGTATATCATGTACCATCTTTCTTGCTGATTAAGACATTTTCTGCTGCCCATGGACTGCTAGACAGTCGTGTTATGCCAGCAACTGCCATTTTACACAACTTCTTCACAACTGATTGACACCTCAAGCAGACAGACACTGCACTGCACCAGTTCAGTCTCATAGGCCTCATTACAAACCACAAGGGCATCAGTATGTGCATCTAACAGTTCTTTCAGTTAAGCCTCATGCTGACTTGATTGCTCTTTTCTCTGCTGCACACTTTACTCACTACCTCTTATGTAGCCTTCTTATTAGTCTGCTTTCTCTCATGGGATGCAGCTGTAGGCCAGCGGGCTGACAGAGCATGCCTAAAGACATTGCAGGGGTGGAACAGGGTGGGCTGTCACTTGAGTGAATAATTGCCCAACACTGTGTACTGCACAATGCATTGTGAGTTTGCAGAGGCCACATTTCTAAGTGTAGTGAAATCTTGTCTAGGTCAAGCACAGGCCCTATCAATAGCAGGAAGTGCATACACAAAGTTTGCTAGACAGACCTCTATCAACCCCACATCTAGATGATCTCTATAATCTTAGATTACTGAAATGTGCCTAGAAGCATGCCTAAAGCCAGGCACACACTGTGCAATTTTAGAAATCTTTAGAAAGTGACAACTCAATTGCTCAATGTATACAGACAAAGCCTACGATTTATATGTTCACACAGAAATCCTTGTCTGATTGATATTCTGCAATGCTGTACACTGCATAAAAAACACAGTCTATAGAGATATGTCTGTATATATATCCAGTAAAGCTGTTTAATTCAAAACTATGCACTGCTTGCCCGAGTACCAAGCAAAAATGGTCTAATGGCTGATTGACTACATGTGGGGTTGAATTAAATTTTTTGCCAAACTATTTCTTTTGTAAAGTATGTGTTTATGAGAGACAGAGTAAATGATAAAATAATTCAACAAAAATTAAGAAAATTTGTAAAATCATGCATAAACCTAAGCAGTTCCAGCGCAACACACACTAACACACCACCACGTTAATGTCACAGTAGTGGTGAGAAAGATCCACCACCCAAATAATATCTGCTCTCTGGTGGTCCTGACCATTGACCTATATGTGCAAGGGGTACTGATAAAATGGACAAAAAGTATAGATAAAAGGTAGTTGTACTTATAAGTAGCCAGTCAGTATGTGTGTATGTGTGTGTGTGTGTATAAAACCATTTTAGATGCGTTATACATTATGCATTAGACACTGAAGTAAATTTAAAACATTTTTATTGTGCGAAACAGTTAGAAACAGAACTGAACAACATATCAGTAATATATGTTGTGTACACGTAAGCATGTAGCAGCAAGCTGTTTGACATCCAGATTTCTCAAAGTCATTTGTTTCAGACCTGCATCATGTTCACGCCGAACATCAGACTCTGCTGGAGTGGAAAATTCATTCTCGCTCACAGTAGCATCGGTTCTTAGTGTGTGAATGGAACATAGCTTGGTTTGCAAGCTGCTAAGCTAAAGGCTAGACCAAAACCAAAGGCTGTCATTATCCCAAGAGACTGTCAGTTCCTTCCATATGGCCCTCTAATGTTGACTATCGCAAACAACTTAGACTCACATTAACTCAGACTGTAACTGACAGCGGGAGATGTTTAAGTCCATATTGTATAAGCAATTATTGTATATAAATAACAAATATTAATATGGTGGATCCAAGTGATTCCAAACACAAGTGTATATATAATGTATTAATGTTTTACTGATCTTTTAGCCTTTTCACACACACACACACACACACACACACACACACACACACATACACATATATATATATATACACCGTGATTATATGTCTAGACATCAGAAAGATGTTGCCATTAGAACAGTAGAATAGTTTGCAATTTGGTTTATCAGGTATTGGAGAATAAACAGTTGTGTACTAAAATGTAACGGGGACCTTTTATGTCTCCATATAAATTAAAAACAGTTACATTTTCGGAAGTTATGCACAGATTTATCACAAAATCTTCTATAGATGTCATGTAAATAAAATATTTTTATTGAGATTTCATTGTTTTGATATAAGCCAAAACTAAATTTGCCAGTGTTTGACACGGCCTCTTTCACTTTTCATATTTATTTTGATGAATATATATTCATGTATTCAGGGCTGTCATATGATTAAAATATGTAGTTGTGATTAATTGCACTAGTGTAGACCGTTGGGATAGGCCCCAGCACCTCCACACGAAGGATAAGCAGCTTAAATAATGTGTGTGTGTGTGTGTGTGTGTGTGTGTGTGTGTGTGTGTGCGTGTGTGTGTGCGTGTGCATTAGTGTAGTTTATCATGATTAAAGAAACATTTCCCATGTAAAAAAGCAATGTATTTTGTTATGACAATATAAGTGGGCAAAATAAGCTTCATCAGAATGTATTTACAACACCGTATCCAAAAAAGTTGGGACGCTGTTTAAAATGTAAATAAAAACAGAATGCAATGATGTGCGAATCATTTAAACTCTATATTTAATTGAAACTAGTACGAAGACAACATATCAAATGTTATGATACTGAAATTTTTTATTGTATTTTGAAGTATATGCCTATTTTAAATCTGATCACAGCAACACGTTTCAAAAAACTTTAAAAGACTGGTAAAGTTGTGTAACTTTAAAAACCAGCTAGTAGAACATTTCACAACTAATTAGGTTAATTAGCAACAGATCAGTAATATGATTGGGTATAAGAAGAGCATTTCAGAGAGGCTGAGTCTTTCAGACGTAAAGATGGGGAGGGGTTCGCCAGTCTGTGAAAGACTGCGCGGGCAAATAGTGCAACAATTCAGGAACACTTCTCAATGTGAAATAGCAAATTTCATTATTTACGGCTTGTTGTCTTGCACGTCTGTGAAGACATCATTAATGCTGAAAAAAATATACAGAATTTGGAGTGACATATGCTGCCATCCAGATAACGTCTATTTCAGGGAAGGCCTTGCTTATTTCAGCAAGACAATGTAAAACCACACATAAATATATGTATACACAGACATACACACAAACACACACATATGAAAAGACTTTCGGGGTTTATTTTAAAACTTCACTAAATCAATTTTATTACGTCAATTATTTGTCAATCAAGACGACAGGCTGAGCTTACATGAGTCACTGAAAATGACACTTGCTTATTTACTCACTTCTGCACTAGCTTATACTGCTGCCTTTTTCTTGAGAAAGAGTCTCCTTCACCCAAAAAGGGGCATAAATTAAGGGGCATAAATTCAAAAAGGTTGTATAGTTGTATAGTTATTGTATATTGTACATAAGAATTCATTGTATAGTGTTTGTATAGTTTGTCTGTATGTATTGTGTGTCTGTCTGCACTGTTGTCTGCTGCGCCATGTCCTGGAGGAACTACGTTTCTTTCCTCTCTCAACTCGTCTGTGATGAGAAGAAACAACAGTAAAGCTGACTTTGACGTTACTGATATTACTGATATTTCTGGCATCAGCAGTTTGTTTTACTTGTAAATGATACTTCAGACTCTACGTACTTTAGTGTGTAAAGTGAAACTTTCCATTTAAAAGCTGTATTTGAGCAAGAGGCCTACAGCAGTAGAGCAGCTGAGCTTCAAGGTAGATATATGGTTGGTTTGAAGGGTCAAACTGCAAAAATGCATTAACAGCATTTTAAAAAATTCCAGCATTAATAATTAACCATTAATACATTATTAATGTGTTCTTCTTGACACCACTAGTATTTAGGTTAGAAAGTTAATCAGTTTCAAACATCATAGAAGTGTGGTAAATTAATTTTGTCTGCATCAGTTTGCCTGACTTTTAGCAACTAGCTACTTGCCCCTTAATCTGCTACAATTAAAAAATATTTAGCAAAGAGAAAAATATTATTTAAATACAGCTACTTCAGCAAGGATGCTGTGGTAGCCCTCCAGGCTCTGGCCAAATTCAGTGCTGCCACCTACAGTTTGGAGGTTGAAGGTTGTGGTCACTGTGACTTCACCTTCTAACCTCAAGTATGAGTTCACTGTCAATCAAGACAACAGGCTGAGCTTACATGAGTCTCGCTTGCCGGAGCCGTCTGGAAACTATAAGCTCAGAGCAGAGGGCAAGAGCTGCTTATTGATCCTGAGAAAAATGAATAATAATACTCAGTCCTTTTCGTTTTAGTTCACTATGACCTACAACAACCCCCCTTATGCTGATTACCCAGCCTTCAACATCAAAGCCAGCACTGTTGGAAGTTACAGCAACACAAAGATCATCTCTGTGGAAATATATGTGGATGTCAGGTGGGTTTCCTATGCAGGTTATAAAATCTCCACATGATATACTTTACATATGAATATTTAACATCTAAATAAAGACCATGTGCACTTCAAAGCTTATACGATTCATCCCCTACTGTGTAGTAAATAGGGCAGAAAATTGATTGCTGGAATTACATCAAAAAGTTGATGGAGATAACAATCCCAGAAAGATGCACTGAAAACAGACAAAGAAATACTGATTTCACTCAATCATTTGGATGCAAATAGATTACTCATAGCATGCAGATATGTAAAGGTTAACAGATCTGCAGTAGTACGTGACTGAAGCAAAACTGCTGCGTGACAGGTACAGCGGCCCGAGAGATGAGACCAACATGGCAGTCATCAATGTCAAGCTGCTGTCTGGCTTCAAGCTGGATGAGGAGTCTCTGAGGCCTGTGAGTGACACTTTAAGGGCAGATGTTGTCTTTGATCTCCCTCCTCTCATCTCCCTACTTGTGTTGCATGCTCATCTGTGCCCTGTTCCTGCAGCTGAGCAGTGAAAGCACGCTGAAACATGTGGACCAAGAGGATGGAAATGTCATCATCTGTTTGGATGAGGTGAGCGGCTCCTTGAGGACCATAAGTTACAGTCCACCTTGTATTTAGAAGAACAGTAGTAAATGCTATGGAGAAAAGTAGTGTTATGTAGGGTAGACCACATCATTTTTCACAATATCACTAAATTATGTAACAGTACTGAGTATATCATGGGTATCGCTAATACAGGATGATTCAAAAGGATTCATCTAATTTCAAAGCGCCATATTTTTACAACCGTGAGGCACCTAGGAGCCAATCACATACCAATTGAAAGAGGGGGTCATAGAGTTTCTGACTGTCAGTATGGTAGTGAACCGCTCAGAACATTCGTCGCTGGTACCAACAGTTCCACCAGCATCACCAGATCTCACACTGTGTGACTTTTTTGTCAGAGTACGTTAAGGATTCTGTTTATGTACCACCACTCCCAACAACACTGGATGATCTCCGAAATCGCATTGAAAGAGCCGTGAGTACAGTGACACCCGACATGCTCAATCGAGTATGGGATGAATTTGACTATCGCGTAGAGGAGGTTCATATTGAGCACTTGTAAAATGATATAATAAACTTTATGCTCAATTAAACCATTTACAATTTATTGCACTGTTCTGTAATGATTGACAAGTGAAATAAATCATTTTGAAATCAGATGAATCTTTTTGAATAACCCTGTACTTTTAATACACTGAACATCCATGCATTATAAAAATATATCTACACCAATTATAGACGGCCTATAAACAACAAGTGACATCGGAGTTGGAGTGTGTAGACTCGACAGGAGCAGTGAGAGAACCAGAAAGCATGACGGTACCCTCATCCCAAGTAGTCCGGAACAGCCAAGCTCTGCTAGAGGTGTCACAGTGCAAGCTCCTGGAACCGCTGCAGCCCTGGACTGGGGTCCTTTTACATGGATGACTTCAACGATGATCGACAGGAGGGCTTCTCAAATGCCACCTAGGATGGACATGGAGCAGGAAGGGCGATGGTCAAACTTCACCACCAACACTGGATCCTAGACTTCCTTCTTCAGGCTCACAACTCTCCCAATTAACCAGACACTACAGGACCCCACCTCTTCTTCTGGAGTTCAGCAGCCTGCGAACAGAGTAGACCAGGGTGCCCTCGACAACAACTAGAGGAGGTGGCATGACATTGGGTGTAGCCTTGTCCAGTGGACCTGAGACAACTGGCTTAGGAAGGGAGACACGGAAAGACCATGAGACATGGTACTGAGCAGGTATGTCTAACTTGTAGGTTGATTTTTCTAACAATCTTTAACAGACCAATAAATCTTGGCAACGATTTCTTACTTCCCTCAGTAAACCTGAAGTCCCTGGTCAACAACAAAAGCCGGCCTCCAAGAGAAAAGGCAGGAGTGTTACCTCTACAATGATCCGCTTGTTGTTTGTGGCGGCATAGAACAGTTTCAATACACTGGTGGGTGTTATCCCAGACCTGCTTACTCCATCTCATCTATTTATCAACAGCAGGGATATCTGAGGGTGTAGCTGACCAACCATTAATGGGCTTGATAACCTAAGGTGCATTGAAATGGAGTTAACCCAGTAACAAAACTAATTAAAGAGTCCTGCGCCATTTCCACCCAGGATAAGTAAGTAGACCAGTTGTTTTGATTGTCATGACGAAAAAAAAGTAAAAATTTACTCAGTTCCTGATTTCTCCTTTCACACTGTCTGTTAGACTGTGGGTGATAGCCTGATGTCAAACGACCAGAGACACCTAAATGTGCAAGAAAAGCTGACCAAACCTGAGACGTGAATTGCTAACCTCTATCTGTTATGATAGGGATACCAAACACACAAAACACATGGTTAAACAGACATGCAGCTGTTTGGAAGGCAGTGGAGAGACTACAAAAAGGAATAAATCGCACTCCTAGAAAATCATCGTTCTAACAATGGTAAGAATGATGGTATAATCTTGTGAAGGAGGGAGGTCAGTGACAAAGTCAATAGCCAGGTGTGACCACAGGTAAGACTGTACAGGAAGCAGCAAAAGTTTGCCAGCTGGAAGTGTTTTGGGTGTCTTACATTGTGAACAAGTGGTACATAAAGCCACAAAACAGTGTATATCAGCCAACATACTTTCCCGCCAGTATTTACTAGCTAACAACTGGTGTATATGTGACTCACCCACATAACCTGATGCTAAGGACGAATGAGCCCAAGTAATGAGGCGATCTCTACATTGAACAGGAACACATTTCATATCAGGAGGACATTGAACAGGAGGGGGTGAGTCAGAATAAATTAATATGATCGATGTCATCGTCAACATCCCATCTAACTGGAGCAACCACAACTGAAGGTTCCATCACTGGTGAACAGAGATAAAGCTTTTGTGTTATGACAGCTTGGTTGATAGGTGATACTGAACTGAAACCCAGAGAAAAAGACAGACCAGCAAGCTTGGCAAGGATTAAGGCACAACGCAAGTACTCCAAATTCTTATGATCAGTTAAGACAAGAAAGGGCATGCAATGCTCTCTCTAACCAGTGACACCACTCCTCAAAGGATAGTTTCATAGCCAGGAGTTCATGATCATCTTTGCCGTAATTACATTCTGCAGGAGTCAGTTTGTTGGAGCAGAACGCCAAAGGGTATAGGTATATTTGCGTGGCATACCACTGTGCTGGGAGAGCACAGCTCCCACACCAACCTCAGGAGCATTTTCCTTCACTACAAAGGGCTCTGACAGGTTAGGATGTTTCATAATGGGGGCTGAAGTAAAAGTTCTTTTAAGTGACTGGAATGCTGTGTCAGCTTGTGGGGTCCATACTAGTTTTTTTGCATTACCCTTATAAAGAGCTGTAAGTAGGGAAGCGATGCTACTATAATCACATAAATAGCGACTGCACAGATTTGCTAAACCTAGGAACCGCTCTAACTCCTTCACAGATGTGGGGACAGGCCAGTTAATCACAATGTCTATTTTGCAACTGTCCATAACTACTCCATCTGAGCTAAGGACAGAACCTAGGAAGGAAGTGGAAGTTAAGTGAAGCTTCTCATCCTTGACGTACAAATGATTATTGAGCAGTCAAGGCTGAAACACTCCTCATAACATCACTGTGAGTGGGCGCGGCTGAACTGCTGTAGGCTTAATAGGCACATATGTGGTACTTTGTAACTGCGTTTGCATCATGATAAGATCGTTCATTGCAGTAATTATGCAGACGATAATTGTTTGTCTAAATTTACATTGTCATCCAAGCTTTTTTAATATAGCACTACTACCTTTTCCGATTCATTCACAAACCTCAAAATTGTGATGGGTTTTGTGTTGTGAAAATGTCATCAAGTATTGTGGTCATATTTTTATCATGTAGTCCACCCTTAATGCTGGCTCACACTGTGACTATCATAATAGAGGTTGTAACTTGACATTTGGATATGGTGCATTTTTGCTTGGTGGCTGAGGAAAGGTGGGTTGCACATGCTTTGTGCGAGAAGGATGGATGGTTTGTATTTGAAGCATGCTCACCGTCCCCAAATGGGAGAGCTGTTTCCATAGCTGCAACACGTGGGCAACATTCAGCCATGAATGGAAATCAATGCTAATTCAAAGATTTTATCAGTTAAATGATAATGAAATGTCTTTGTCTACTTTATCTGCTGACGCCTGACTTATTGTTCCAGCTGAAAGAGCATGAGAATGAGATCTACACTCTGGTAATTCTGGAGGAAATCCCAGTGCGCAATCTGAAGCCAACTGTGGTGAAGGGTTATGACTACTATCACCCCAGTAAGTAGCTGATTATTTACCCATACAAACTCTGAAAGGTTAAAACAGAAAGGGGAGAAAAGTTTGGAGCATCAGTGTAATATGCTCTTATGCTTGCTTTGGGTGCCACATTCCAAAAACTCAGTTGTCTTTTTGATATCCATGAGTCTTGCTTGCAGGAGCCACCCAGGTAGTTACACAAAAACAGTAATCCATTACAAATTACTTATAACTTCTCTAAAACTGTAATGGGATTGCTTTACTCATGACTTCTTTGAAAAAGTAATCTCACTACTCATTATTTCTATGTTACTTTTTAGACCCGAGACACAACTGTAGTATCTGGAAAGTACAAGGGAAAACTCAGTACTTGATAAAGAAAGAAATAGCCAATCACAGTAAACATGATTTAAAAGGCATCCCTACCTTTGCTTTCAATTAGACGGAGCCAGTCACTTACGTTAAAAAGATCAATTTGGCCAATGCTGTTTGAAAACCTAGAAGCAGATAAAAATTGCTATTGCCTCTAAATCTTTGAATAAGATGTAAAGTTTACAGAGCTGTTCTTGAACGAAAACTATGCTGGAACTCTTTTTTGACCAAATTCATTTTTAATACATTTTGCAGGCTGACTTTTCAAGCCTGACTGAAGAGTTTCATTCCAAAATGCTGTATATCCTTTTGTAATAATTTTGGATAGAACAAGTTTTTGACAAGAGTAACAGCTAATGTACAATGAAACATTTTTATTTCTCTAATAAATGTATTATTAATCGTAATACAGCACTGGTATTTTCTTGTAGATGTAAAGCCAATACCCAACAACAATTCCTGAAAATAGTCCATAATGCATTTTGGGATGAAACCCTTCAAGTGCAGTTCTTCTAACTTTATCTTGAAGAAAGTTCATACCATGTGAAGAATGTAGACGCTCATTAATTTCTTTTATTTCAGCTGTGAATTAAACCTAAATGTATTCCCCAAATCTAAGTGGAGCACGGCAGTGTGCTTTGATTTAAAGAAGCATCATTAGAAACTGAAAGACTCCTGGGTAATGAAGTTCTTTTTGAAAGCTCTGTGGCCTCATAGCACGCAGTGATCAGGAGCACGATTACAGCTGAATTAGCCATTTCAACAAGAGACGAGAGAATGGGAGATTTCTGTTCTTTTTAATAAACCTGAAAAACTCCATGAAGTCCATCCAAAGTGCCGAATGGAAAGTACCATCATATCAACATAGTGTCAGCATGTACGAGTGTGTTGTTAGTGACAGAATATTCTTGCTGAAGTGAATGTGTTTGTCTGTGGTTGTGTGTATCTGTGCATGTGTGTGCATCCTAGTGACTTTCAGACCAGATCTGTATGTGTACACAATCCAACACTTAAAGGGGAATACAACATTTCTGAATAATTCAATTGTGAGGATGTAAACAATCATTCAGAGTGATTTGTTGTGAAATGGCTCATTGTAGAGAAACATATTTAAATTTCTTTACAGTGGTGGAGATCAGAACCAGTAATAGTGACCTCTTCTTTTTATTTATCTTGAAGAACCAGTGAACCTACATGTGTCTTTTGAGTTTATATGTTGTTTTAGGGACTATTCTGCATGTACCTCTCAACCATGAATGTTTTTTATATGTTCATTCAAACTCTTATCTCTAAACTATGTCTCAGACATCATGCAGTGTATTCCTAACCACTTCATATAATAACTTTGTGATTAACCTTTCAGAGGCATTAAACTCATCAGACGTCTGGTTCCTCTCACCACCGTGAACAATTCTAACTGTAAATAGCTATAAAATGGAGCATTTCACATCAAGCCACTCTTAATGCCTTTGTTTACATCTTAATGATGCAATTATGCAGAAATGTAAAAGAAATGGTGCAATTCCCCCTTAAAATAAAGAAACACAGCAGAACTGTGAGAAATTCAATTTCTTCATCCAGATGTGTGGAAATATTTATCTGATGCTTAAAATAAAATAAAAAAAACTGGCAAACTAATCAGGATCAACAGTAATGGTGACTGGTTTTTGGCCATTTTTCAACAACTTGAATATACACAGTTGGATTTCAGAAAAAAGCACGTTGGTCTTATTCTAACAGTGTCGTCGCTGTTACATAAACAAAACTCATTATAAATAAAACCTGTTTTTTCCACCCAGTAAACACTAAGGCATGAAAAACTCTCCAGATTTGAAATCACAGCATAGTTCAGTTCAGAAGATGAAGTCTCCCCCTCCCGGAGCTGACAAGAGCCAAGGCAGATTACAAAGAGTTTCCACATATCATGACTTTACAAGCTACAAATACATTGACTGTTGTTTTTTTCTTTAAATAATGTATTAAAGCTGACACGTCACCATTTGTTATCACTCATCGCTTTTTTTTTTCATCGATCCGACTACATGCCATGTGCAAACATCTGTTAAGAACTTTCACAACAATACATCTCTTGCAAATAAAAATAACACTTAAAGTCAGTTTTGTGTTTCAGGTGTTTTGTGGTCCAGCTAGCCGCTCACTTCGGTACTCAGAGTGATGAATCGTGGGGAAATATCAAGGCACTGAATGATTTGCATTATTACATTTATGTCCAGAAGCGTTTTCCATGTTTTTCGTCCAGTACTTTCATCTGTTCTATGTTGTTTGTCCTCCAGGCCTTCGGGTGGCAGTGAAGAGAAGATGGCTAATTCCTTGAGGGGTTAAGTCAGAAGATCAAGTTGTCAGGACTTGGCAAATAGACTCTACTGCAGTGGTGCTTCAGAGATATTATTTTGTGTGTGTGCACAGGGTTTGCTTGTGCTGGCAACACGAAGACATACAAAGTTGGACGCAGGCAAACAAGAGCTGTTGGCGACGGTCTAAACATGGAGGAAGTGACGGATTCGCGAGCTGGTTGGTGAACTTTGGTGAAGGTTTTTGTTTCGGTGACACTGGATGTTTGTCTAGAGCTCTGGTAGGAATCTCACATTTATGCTATACTGATATATTCGACATTATCTCTAGAATGTACTACCTGTATATTTATAACCTCTCTTATTCTCTGTCAGTCAAAGCCACAGAATCAGTTTTTACAAAAAACGTTCCACAATGGCTTAATGTCATTTGGCAATATCACATCTCAAATGTGGGAAAGAAAATCATAAAAACAATTTAACAAAAAAGCTCATCAAACAGTTATGCATACTTAAAGAACAGCTGTGGAATACTAGGCTGTGGCAAAAAAGGCATTTTCACAGCGACTCTCTTAGCCATCCGTGTGTAAGTTTGCTTCTCAGGTTTGTCTTCTAGGAATCCCTTTTTAAATCCAGGCGAACACAGAAAACCTGTGGAGAATGTGAATCTGTACAGTCGTGCTGAATATACAACTTATTAAAAAAAAAAACAAGAAAGAAAAGAAAACAAGAACGTAATACAAAATAAAAAGGCTTTCCCCTCATCAAGAGTCAGTAGACCCAGTAAACAGGAGGATGAGTCATTTGAAGTTTCCCTGCCGAAACTGTTTCTGATTTGACCTTTTCTGGTGGGGGGGTTGGGGGTGCCCCTTCTTTAGTTCATGAACTGCGTGTAGCCCTCTGCTCCTGTTACTATGACGTCCATCCAGATCCTCATGGCTTCTGCAGACGGAGCCACCATGTAGTACAGTCTGTCGTGGGTCTTCACGCAGAACGTCAGGGAAGGATTGGGGCTCTGAAGCCGAGAGAGCAAAGCAGAATTAGCCAATGAGATTGATCTGGTGTTAGCATGAGCTTTCAGGGATTTGCTGTTACGCTCACAGAACTAAAGCTTGAGTTTGTCTGTATGGCATTCTAGCATGCAGTAACGTGCACAGGACTGCTAGATCAAACTGATGATTATCACGCTGATCAAAATGCCAGCAAAGAACTGAACTTTGTTCCATTCAGTTACAGCAGGGGTGTCCAATTCCCTCCCTGGAGGGCCACAGATTTTTGATTTTCTAGCTCAAATACACCTGCTAAACCTGATTTACTGCCCAGTAGCGACAGGATGGTGTGAATATTTCCTGTCTTTACATCAGTGACTGAATGACCACAGTTTTACGGTATTATTGCGGTATCGTCTGTGAACATTTACACCCACAATGACAATAGTTAGAGCAATCAGGGCGATTGCACCCCACTGACCTTACACGTATGTTTTGGTCATGTCAGAAACTGCAGACTTTTTGGATCTGTCTGAAGTATTATGGTGACAGTTCTTTGTCATTTTTGGGACATTATTTTTGTTGTTGTTTCGCCTTCTCTTAAAGCCAGGAATAAAATATTGTCATTGTGGAAATCCTACAATCCTCCTATCAGCTCCTGGCCTAAAGACATGATGTTTTATTGTTTTTTTGGTAAAGCGAGAGCACTGAACATTTCATTGGAGATGTCTTCTCCATTGGGGGTGTATCAGTTGTCAATATCACAACAGACTGTACTGATAGTTTGATGACTCTAGATGTCCATAGATTAATTTAATCATATATCTTTTTGTGTGTGCATGTCTGATCTTTCCTTTTATTTTTATACTTCACAATGATTAGAATGATCAGAATGATTGTTATGCATGTCATAAAAACAGTAACCGACCTATCGCTACCAGTGAAATGTAGTTAATGTAGTGAATGTAGTAGTGAAGTAGTGAATGAGTGAGCTCTCTGAGCTGGCACTTTTAGATGAACGCTGGGACCCGATTCGCATTGAAGAGTTCATTTTTATTTGTTTTTTAAATTGAGACTAAACAAATGCTTACATTTTACAATGCCACAGCTGAAAATCACAGGAACCCCTTCCTCAATGTCCTTGCAGTATTCTGGCTCTGCCGTGTAACGACCCCCAAACCTGCTTATTGTGTTAGTTTTGTCTCTGGTTTTGTTCATGGCAGTTTTAACGTAATTCTTAGCTGCATTTCCAAGTGTGCCTCATTAGTTCTTCTGATTGTTGGTGACTGTTTTTTCCTACATTTTCTCATCTGTCTTCTGATCCTGACTTGAAACTACTTACAAACCTCAGACTTACTTGCAAAATGTAACACAATTTTTTATTCATTAGTTAATTGGAAGGTAGAATAAGGTTTATTGAAAATTAACTGATAGACAACATAATAATTTTGGGAACAAATAAACTGTGCTACTGAATGAAGAGCTGTTTGGGAGCCTAAAGCCTCTTTTGAGCTGAGCCAGTTTATCGGACTCACTGCAAAGAGCTGGAATGCCCATCACTAATCACTACTGCTTAGTTAAGGTGTTGTTTGAGCAGGGAAATCAGGATTGGAGCTGCACACCCTTGTGTTAACAGATTATGGTTATGAAGATGATGCATATTTGTTTTTAAGTCGTGTTAAAACCTTTATGGAATTTATTGATTCAAACACTGGGACAAGAAAGAGAGACTAAATGGATCTAAATGGAAAGTCTGGGTTGTCACTGATTAAACTGGTTACACACACACAAGCCAGATGTGTATTTAGTATTCACCACACACACACACACACACACACACACACACACTCGCACACCTCTCTGTGAAACTGAGGAGGCAGCAGTTCAGAGATGTGCTCGGGGCAAATGGAACACAGGAAAGTCTACAATTCCGTGTCCCTTATCTGCTAAAGCACAAAGCACCTCCTCTACAGCCACTACAAATACTGGCCACAGTAACAGTGCAATGCGCATAATCACTTCGAGCCTGACTCTGCTGTGACTAATTGGTAATTAATCTCAAGGGGGAGGATAAGAAGATAAGCTTGATCTTAGCAAAGGAACTCCAGATTGAATTCAGCTGTCTCTGGGCAAAGGGAGGCTAATCACATGCAGGATGCATTGTGAGGGGCGGCAGGAAGAAATACATACATTTGTCAAGTTCAGGTTGAAAAATCCTTTCTGTGGAAACGGCCGGCGGTGCGAAAGAATGGACAGGAAGGAGGGTGGAGGAACGCACAGAAGATAAAAATCACAACAGAAAACGTGAGAAGCAGAGCACAGAGAAAAGAACGTGAGCAGAATAAGGCTGAAAAGGGAGGATTAGAATGGCAGAAACTGCACAGAAGGGTGTGGACAAGTGTAGAAGCAGCATGAGCTGAGTGTGAAGTGTGATTAGTTGTGGTGTGGGGCATCATTTGGAGGTGAAAGCACTCGGGTAATTTACCTTTGTGGCACTGCGCAAATGGTCATAGTAAACCTCCTCGATGGCCTGGAAATAGATGACTCCTTTCAGCTTGGTCTCGTGCTTATCTGTAGAGAAATGACATGGTAAGCGAAAGTGCATGACTGAAGGTTAAAAACAGACTTGCCCATAGAGACAGCGAGTTGGAGGCAGATGCTGTTAGTATTTCGCCCTGTTAGTGGGTTCCATTCGCCTTTTTCTGCCTGTGTAACAATTAGGAGGGGGGGTGAAAGCGCCAGCCCATGCCGAGCCGCAAACAGGGCCGAGTGTGGAGCTGGATTTCCACAGCATTGCGGCGGATTTCATCAGCATCAGATAGGACGCGGCCGAGCTGCTGGATATTTGTATGCCCCTGGCTAACCCGAGGCTATCGGAAAGCGCGGCAGCCTCCGCCAGCTAAAGCAGCCGCTAATTACCCGTATCCCCCCACACTAGCTTCGCCGCGCTAAGAATCAGCTCTTTGTACTAAATCGCGGCTTTCTTCAAGCTCAGGGCTCTAAGAGGCGTAAGAACACACTGGCAGTGCTTCATTTGCATAGTGCACAGTGGGGAAGATGTCTGCCAGTTGAAGCTAGTTGGTTGTGCCTACCGATGTAGTAGGAGAACGTCCTTTTGAGGCGATCAAAGACGAACCAGCGCTTCTTCCACGACTTGATCTTGCCGCCCATCTTGACCAGGTTGCCCTTGCACATCTTCTCGGTGAGGATGACGTGGTAGCAGGTTTCCACATTGTGGCCCGAAGACTCCACATGCGAGCGCAGGTCAAACTCCTCTTTGCGGATGGGCAGGTAGCGCGTCATGGGTCGAGCCTTTAAAAAAGTAATGAGGCCCCCTGGTTAAAACCCCCTGCTGCTACAACACAGCAGTCTGTCTCAGCTTGTATCTCAGAAACAGTAACTTTATGGTATGTTCTACAGATTAAAGTGTGCTCATGTAATGGGTAGAGATGGCATATCAGTACTGATGGGTATCATTACTGGAGTTACATCAGTGCTGGATCGGATATCAGAGAGGAAAAAAGAACAAATCTCATCCAATCCTGTAACAAATCTACCCTGAAATATGTTGTGAAAAGCTTTTGTTAGCTGGTTATTTCTTCCTGTGGGGTAGTAGAGTATTTGAGTATTTTTATATTTAAAAATATTGGATTGGTGTGGGCAGACACGGTTTCAAAATTGGTATCAGTAAAGAAAATAAGGTATCATGCCATCTCTAGTGAGGGATTTTAATTCATTTTCTGATATTCCATTCATCAATACAAGTTACAAGGTTTTCTTATGACAGCGATTACATTCGATTCTACAGACACATTTGCCAAAGCTCATTTAAGATGATGTCATTCTCCACATTACTTTATCTGATAGATCACATCTGCACTACCTGTCAAAAGTTTGGAGACATCTTGTCTCTATTTCTGGGAGTTTCCAAGTAAAGCTTTTTAATGTTTTTAATTTTTAATGTTTGTCTTCAATTAAGTGAAAAAAAAACTGCAAAAAGTTTTTGGTATCATAAAACAGCCATTTACTAACACTTCAGGTATCTTTTATAATATGCAGCTTGATGTAGCAGCACATACTGAAAAGTTGGTTTAAACTGAAAGTGCTGACGAGTGCTGAAATCAAAACAAGAGAACAACAAGAATGTGGAGGTTGGCGTTTTTCCCAATGTAGCACTTTTGTCTGTGGTTCCTTCCGTCTTTTCAAAGAATAATGGTGACATCTAAACAGCTTTCTGTTATTGCAAACTAACAAAGAAAACATGGTTATTTTTTAAAAACCTCCCTAAAAGCTAGATGTCCCCAAAACCTTTGACAGGCTGCATATTTAATGGTTGTGTACAGCTGCTCTGTGCTCAGTCTGACGCTACAGTCTGAAGTAGAAAAGTGCAGAGGTCAGCAGACTCACCTGCGAGAAGTTCTTTGCCCTCATTTTCACCTCCCTCTCTATCAGCTGCTGCCGGTGCACCGTCTCCTCCTGCAACCTCTTCTCCGCCTCCTCCCTCCTCCTTCTCTCCTCCTCCAGCAGCTGTTTACGGGCCAGGCTCTCTCGCTCCTGCAGGAGACACACAAAGGAGACGCGTGGTCACTCCAGATTGACATCCTCCACAGTGGGGGTCTCGTCATAATGATATTCACACTGATGTGTTCTTGGCTTTTACTCACTCTTGACTCAATGAGTCTGGCCTTCTCCAGCTGAGCTTCCTTCAACATCTTCTCCATCTCTTCAATCTTCAGCACGTCCATCCCGCTGGCACTATGTAGTGGAAACACAGAGCAGTACAAAGTTCAGTATTCAATATTTCACACACCAGATTCATAATGTATGTATATGTGATTTGCATAGGTCTTTGGCTGCTACTGTAACCCAGCAAATTCATTAAGAAATTTCTAACTTTCTTTCTCTCTGAGCCTGATGTACTAAGCTTTGCAGCAGTTCTAGGATGCATTCTGTGCATGTGCTATGTACAAAACTAGTGCACTAGCCTAAAATTGGTAAAAAAAAGCCAAATCACCTGAATGGGAAATGACACAGAAACACAAAAAGGAATTCACTTCTGGTAGCGATTCGTTTCGCTTTGTGCTGAATTATTCTAGGTGAATTTTAACCCAGCGTGTTTGTGAACTTTAGTGGTGTGGGCCAATAGAAAACGACACATTTTGTCTTTGTGAAAAATCCAAATGATAGACCCCCTTAGTCAACAGTCACTTGTTGCTCAGTTGCAAAAGTAAACTAGTTAGCTAGCTAACGTTAGCTGTTTACTGAACTTGGCTCTAGGCTTCCCTCTAAATCACTTCACATCAAGACCGTCCTTGATCGCCCGTGGCAACTAGTGGCAGCCGTTTTTTTTTTACCAGTCGTAAATTTGTGGTCTCAAAGGCGTCTTATTAGGAGACTTCCTTTCACAATGGCAGCAGACACAGTGGCAAAACTGCAGCACAAGCCTAAAACACATGCTGAAAGAATACTGACTAACAGAATAACACTATTTAAACTCTAAGGATCAGATGTATATGTGTTAAATATACATCTTTTCTATTTTGTTTTCTCATTGTTTGACAAATTCTATATTCATAGCTTGAGCAGAATTACAGAATTAATGGGCAACATGGCGAGATGTTATCATTACTGTGATAAATTACATCACAGTATGCTTTTCTGAGTATGTCATTGTTCTTGTCAGTGCATTTGATCTGTCTGTCTGGCCATCCATCCATCCATCCATCCATCCCTCCCACATTACAAACTGTATCCTCTCTTAGGTGTTGTAACACTTCACAACCAGAAAAACACAACACGTAATAAAATCTTAATAGTTCTTCAACTTTGTTTGGTGACAACTAACATTGGGGAGATAATTGGGCAAAAATCCAAGAAAAAACAGACTAATTAATTCAAGATGAATTACAATGTTTACACCAGCTTAATTGCTAGTTTTAGTACCCATGCACAATTAAATTCATATTACTCTTTGTCATGTTGCTCATTAAGAATCTTTAAAGTGCAGTCGGGTTTGGGGCGTTTGTGCTGGAAAAAACAAAAAAACATGCGCTAATTTACGGCTGGTAGGGTGGAGATGGAAACAGCAACCCTCTGGCATCTGTTTACGGAAAAGGCTTTTTAAGTGTTGACACTTTTTTCAGGCCTAATTACAGTCTTATTTATACTCTGAAATGAACTTGAGACTTTTGTAGTGAATTCTGGCCTGTCTCTGCTCTGTGGAAGCTGTAAAATGCTCATGTCATATATATCAACACCACACACAAACACTGCCCATCAAAGACTTCTTGTGCAATTTGCAGAGTAATGTTTGATACCTGCATAGGTTAATATAGAAAATCTGCCCCAGAATAGCTGGACTGTGAACATTCATGCTAAAATGGACATTCATAATGAAAAAGATCAGCAGACAGAATCGGAGCTTACAGTATGCTACTGTGTTTTGCCTATTTACTGCTATTCACATGTTTTCTTGCATAAAAAAAGGGGATTAAAATGCAGAAAGACCTGCTTTTTTGTCTTGGCATTAAAGGGTTCAATATTTTCGTGCAGACATCAACAGATAAAAAGTCTGGGTTATGGCATGTAGCTACATGAACACCACTGGCTTTTCTGAGCATATCATGGATATCTTTCGTACTTAAACAACACTGAGCAACTGCATGCTTCATTAAAAAGACAGCATCATTAGTCCTGTTTAATTGGCATATTAGTGCACAATTTATGATTAACATATTGGAAAAAAGCAAAAACAAAACATAATAAAATGTGCCATGACTTTTGCAGAGTCCATATTTCATATTTTTTTCCAACATGTTAATTTCAGCAAATAAGTGGTAGTTTAGTAGCACATTAAAACATGCATTTGTATGTTCATCCTGTGAAGGACGTGTACATACGACTGTATATGTATATGCGCATGTATATTCTTCAGCATTTTAATGATGTTCCTTTAACTTTGCAAGATCTTATCAGCTTTCTATTTAAAGGGGAATTCCACTGATTTTTTTCAAAATGTCTCCATAATTTAGTGATCAGGATGTGAACATTCATTCAGAGTGGTTTGATGTGAAATGGTTCGTTGTAGAGAAACTTACTAACTCTGATCGAGATGTCTTTAAAGCGGTGTTGATAGGAACCAGGCATCATAATGTCTAAAATGCAAATATAACCATTTCACTTACGATTACAATACCAGTGAACCTACAAGTGTCTTCTGAGTTTTATATGTGTTGTTGATAATGGAGAAATACTGCTAAAGCTGAGAGCCTCTTTGGGTCTGAATGTACCTCTCTGCCATGAATGGCTTTTAAAAATATGTTTTAGGCCACAGCATGATCTCAGAACTATAATAAAACGAAGTCTCAGGCATCAGGCAGCATTTTAGCAACTATTTTGTGTAATAACTTTCTGTGATGTGGCTTTTAAAGGCATTATGTTTCTCTACAATGGAGCATTTCACATCAAACCACTCTAAATGACTTCAATTAAATTCCCAGAATTCCAGTGTAATGTTATGTTACTGCATAATGACAAAGAAAAACACGCTTGTTTAGTAAAAACATTTTGAAAAGGTAGGTACACCCAAACTTGAGGGGCACCGTATAGGCATGTTGCGCCATGTAACAGCCTTCAGGCAGCAGTAGTCATACAAGAGCATGTTAATTTCTCCTCATGTTCTCACAGGTGCAATTGGAAGAATAATAAAGAAATAAACAGCACAGCAAGAGGAAATAAACAGATGGTGGGGAATTTAGCTCCAGACAGGGCGCAGGGAGGAGATGGAGAAACCATGCCGACTGCTGTCAGCGAGCCCAGTGTAAAACAGACAGGCAGGCAGAGGAGCGGTCTATGAAAGCAGACGGCGGCGTTCTGACCTGGACATGTTGTCCGGCGAGCAGGCTGAGTTGTTGCCGGTGGAGACGCTGGTGTCCATGCTGTCGGAGCTCTCCAGGCTGAGCGTGTCGTAGGCCGGCTCTCCAGCAGAGGGAGCTGTGTGGTGCAGGATGGAGTGGTGCACCAGTGGAGGCGGCGCAGTCAGCAGTTGAGGGCTGTTGAGCTGCGTCTGCGAGCCCCGCAGCGCCTCCCACTGGCACTGAGCCTCCACTGCAGCCTTCTGCTTCAGCTCAGCCAGACGCCGCCTCTGCTCCTCTATCACTTGCTGCCCTGCAGAGGAGAGAGGGAAGACGTTAACACGCATAACCCACACAGCGCATTATACACTGCCTGTCTAAAGTTTGGGGATTCCTTGCTTTTCAGTGTCTTTAATACAAATAGGCAGATTCTTTAATTGATTTGCATTAACTTCACATGTTAACCGCCAGAAGCTGACAGTTATTATTGTCATTTTGTTAGAGCTCCAATTTACATTACATAATTACATGTAATAACAGGCTTACATGATTATCTACACAGCTAATTAAGCAATGAATTAAATTTGCTTTTGATTCAAATTCAGTGACCAAAAATGGCAGAAACGTAAAGCATAGGCTGCATTTAAAACCGCAAACTACTCAAAATATCACAATACCACAAAAATCTATCATTATAAAACATTTGCTCTTCTCCTCCCATATATAAACTGTCGCTTTCGGGACAGAATATTTTTATACCTCCTAGTTTTGTCATTTATCACACTTTTACATAATGTGAACATTACAGTTAGACTTCACTTGTGTGCTCCAAAATTACTTGGAATCAAATCTTTTTACTTTGACTTCCATTATAAACTAGGAATGTGTTTTTCCTTCTCCTGTATAGTTGCTATTTTGGAGATACAAGGTTTTCTTACAGCAACAGAATGTGATATTAATTAAAGGTTTAGGATCTGCACTTTCAACAGAATGTCTCAGCTTGTTCTAATATAAACTCTGTAAGCAGAGTGAGCAGAAATAATTCAACAGTATGTAAGAATATGTGTTCATGGCATACAGACTAAGAGGGACCTAGAAAGGATAAAGATAAGCCATGTTTATTTTGAGTTTCACACCTTTTAATATTCGTGATAACACGTGTGACTGCACTACCTCGGGAATAATGCGAAATACTGCTTAGGTGTGATGTGAGCACTCGCTTTTCAGCTGTTTAAACCACGTTTGGGCCAAAGGATGTTCAAAATGTGCTTTTAACAAATAATTTGTAAAAAAAAAACAAAAAAAACTGTCAAATCATTATTTAAGCAAAACCTGCTATTTATACCACAAAAGACACTTCGTTTACACCTGGTCATTTTGTATGACCTGTATCTGGATACAGGTTTTAACCAAAATGTTTTTAACCAAATGTTTTATCGTTAATAAAAAGAGGGTCGCTGCTTCGAAATTAACTAAACTGGCTAGAATCCTGATACTAAGACACTCAAGACACATGACACGACTAGGCATAAACAAGCTCTTTGATTCATTGATTTAAACAGGAAGCTGAGTGCTACACAATAGTATTTCAATTAGTATTCGAAGTCTTAGTAAATAAATGTTTTATATTAACAACAGCTTTGCAGATATTTTTTCGGTATCAGTGAGACAAATCACATTTCTAAAGGGAAAATCCCCAAACATTCGATAAGCAGTATACAAATGCAAAAATGGACAGACGGACACAGACATACATACATACATCCACATTCAGCTTTGAGGCTTCAGCATGGACACCTTTTTAGAGGAAATTCAGCATCTACAGCCGTATAAATATCATATTATACCTCAGTTAAAAGGTGGGCTCTCCTTGTGTTTGAAACGCCCTCTTTTAGCACTCCCACAAACCCATACCAAGCCACCTGTTCCTGTCCATAAGGCCATAAAGACCCGCGCATCCATGTAGGATGACACGCTAATGCCACGCTGCTCAGTCATGCCCTCACACATACAGCACATTAGACATATGCACTGCATGTGCTCTTTGTAAAAAAAAGAGACTTCAAACAGCCCAAGCAAGTCCAGTCCTAGTGATTCATATGGTTTTCAGTAAAACCATTCTACTCCATGCTGGCTACCAAAGCAAAGGAAAAAAGCAGATCTTCATGAAAATTAAAGTAAAAAGTCATGCGCTGTTTCAGGGGGTCAGCACAGGCTGGGTGGGAATAAAGCAGATGGGGGAAAAAGTGAGGGATAAAAGGAATAATAAAGAGGAAGAAAATAATGATGATGATGATGATGATGACGAGTCCAAACCCACTCCAGATTCAGTGCAGGCTACCTGTAGGGCTGTCTGCGGTGGAGGAGGACTCGGATGATGAAGGCAAGTGGTCTGGGTGAGAGTGGGAGGAACGATGGAGGTAGACGGACAGAGTGACACAAAGATAAAACAGTATAATGGTTAGAACAAAACCAGAGGTGTACGGAGGACGGGGTACACCATGAAGAGGAGTTACACTCATAGAGAGAACAAGTACATTTCTAAATTACATGTTTACACCCATCAGCTCATTCAGGTTTGAAACCAGATCAGTCCATCAAATGCACATCTCTGTAAAGCACTCATCTCACTGCTGTTGTCTTTTGTCCACTGACACAGTAGTTTGGTGAAATATCAAATTTATGCCACTTCCATCTTACCTCAAATGTGATCAGTCAGCCAAGAATATGACTGGTGTCTTTAGTTCTTTACTAGAGCTACGAGGCTAATGTAGCTAACAGACATGTTTAAAAGTCTCATAGGTAAAACTGTGGTGTGGTAGCAGTTTTCTTGAATTTTCTACTTTTGTTAATGTTTATAGATAACAGTTTATCATAACAGTGTCAGAAACCACATAAAGCAAGTCTGTTTGAGACTTTGTATTGAATGCACCATAACAGGATTTTTAAAAAATAATAATGTGTGTGGGGGTCCTTTTTGGGGTACGTTGCCTTGAGGCAACATTGTGCAACAATGCAACAAAATTATCGTGTGTTACATCAAAAATATTTATGCAAGATTCCTAATGTCATTTGCTTTCTACAGTCTGCCCCGTGTTGCCCACCTGCTCCAAGTGTCCTCTTCTTTGAAAACCGACATATGGTCATCATATGTGTCACGTCATTGTAAAGTGAGAAAAAATGGGTTTGCTACCCTAAAACAACACACTGCACTAGAGGGTTAAGACAAGTGTGAGATGATTTTGGTACATAGTTTACACAATGCTAACTACAATAGCCTCATAGCATGGCTGTAAGTCTAAAGGGCCAAACTTGAGACACCAAACACTGGCTGACTGACTACATTTGGAGTAATGGAGAAGTTGTGTAGATTAGATTTTTTGGTAAACTGCTGCTTAGGAGCACTGCTGTAGTACCTTTCTGCTGTAGGGCCAGCTGCCGCTTTATCTCGATGTCCTGTAGGGTGGCTGCTAGGTTGCGAGGGAGACTGCCGGTGCTGTTAGCCACCATCAGAGGGCTCTGGGAAAAGAAATATGCCGTTATTAACGCTAAAAAAATCTCTACTAAAGGAACGATGACTCACAGGATGTAAGTAATGCAGAGTGAGCGAGAGAGAAAGAAATAATAATTTACCCTGGACGAAGTGTTACGGCCGAGTGTTGCAGTGGTGTAGGTGGGCGACAGGCCAGTGTTGACCTTTTGCCTCAGTGATGACTGACTGGCATCACTATCCAGCCTGGAGCGGTACACCTGCCGATCAGAGAACAGTACATGTTATACACCAACCAGTATACATACACACAGTCACTGCAGCTGAGAAATGTTTCAGGAAATGACATTTTTATACCCTCAAGGGTTTTCAAGCTTGGACTTGGGATTATATACAGATCCTGATAGGTTTTATATATATTTATATACATACAGTGGCCCTAAAAAGTATTTGGACATTTCTGCCATTCCTGAAGTGTATTTTATTTATTTTAATGAGATGATACCAAGACTGCCATTTTCTTTTTGGCAAAGTGTTCCTTCAAAAGGTGTGCTTCGGATCGCTGTCACTGGAATCCAAGTTTGCCTCTAAAATGCCTTTGTACACGTCTGAATTCATGATTGCACGCATCAATGAACAGCAGCAGACCTTGCAGTACTCTTAATGCTGTCTCTTCTCCAGGCTTTCTCCACACAAAGAGCATGCAATCTGTCTGATGTTGTGCTAAAAGTTTCACTCTAAATCTAATTTATTTTAAACATTTTCTGAAGTACGAATGGTTTACCACTCAGGTTAGAGTGTACAAAAGGTTTTTGGTGTCACTATATCCAGATAAACTTTTAGAAAATAAATCTAGGTCTTTTGAATCTTTAATATGTTAACACTGTCTTTCTGGCTGTAACAGAAAAGTGCAGCACTTTTTATTGAGCAGTTCTGTTGTACTGTTTTAGCTGGAGTGAGCATTTTTGAACATTCTGGTTGATCTGCAGAATGGTAGTGATGAGATTCCAGAGCAATGAGTCACAAAGTCTGAACAAAATCGAACAGTATGGTAATGTTCCTTAGCAATCTGCAGCAGATTCTGAGATGGCTCGATGTGGAAGATGTGAGATTTCTCTGAGTGTAGGGAGAACCAAGTGAAGATGAAGGCATGGAGAAAGAAGAACAGGGGGCAGGGCTGTCCCCTTTAGGTCTACTTGTCAGATATAGTGTTCTTAGTTCACTGAGATTCTATCAGTCAGCTAAATGCATTTTTTATTTCTTTCTTCATTTATTTACTTGGCTGTTATTTTTTTACAAGTGAATTATAGTTAAAATTGTAGATATTTCAGCAAATAGAGGTTTGGATCATGTATCTACTGAGTACAGCTTCAAATATACCATCTTTAAAGTATTTATGGCAATCTTAAGTAAAATTAGTTTCCCTACAAAAATGCCCATAGCCCTGGTTACCACATATGTGGCGGCAATTTGTTTGTTTTGTTGATTTAAAAAAAATGAAAATGTGTCTTAAAAATCTTTTCAGTAACACAGAGCAAAATGAAAGCTTCCACTAAAGGTGCAACCAAATCTTACATGGGAAATGGCTGAATTTACACTACACATTTGGGTTCCTGGTTTCTATCACCACCCTTTAAGTTACAGTACAGTTCAATGTTTTCTGAAATGTTTTCACATATATGTCACATGTGAGGTGTGCAAAAACCTTGTATTTACAAATAATCACACATTTCTTCCACATGTGATAACACATTTTTTAACGTGACGTGTGCAAAAACCACGTTTATTGACGTGACCTGTCTGTGAGAGCATTTATTTTAATCAGAATTCAGGTCTTTTGGTTGACTGTGAAACTCTCTAGTCGAGTGCATCCCTACAGGAAGGACAGAGGGAATCCGGGCCTGCATTGTTTACCTGCAGAGGCCTGCGTGAGTGACCTTTGGCCGGTAGAGGAGGGGGGCAGAGCGGGCTGCAGTCTCCAGCCTCCATCACCTCCTGATACCAGCGCTCTAAATCTAGACCAGCCATTTGAGGCCTGAGCCACTCCGGCTGAGCCTTCACACACATCAAAAGCACAAAGGAGTGAGAGAGGAGGTGGAAGGGTGGCATGAGAAAAGGGAGTGAGGGAAGGAGAAGAAGAAAAAGAAGAAGAAGAGAGAAAAGTGTTAATGAGCAGCTAATGAAAATGTTGGTTTAGTGACAGAGTAGCCAGCAGCTTCTAATCCCATCGCAAATTCATTTTGTAAGAAGCACTTCTGCCGATACCAAATTGAGTTAGCATAAATGAGCATGACATTTGCCCTGCTTGGTATATCTCACAGATTTTCCCCCAACAAACGAAATACTAATCTAATCAGTGAAGTTCTAGGAAGAGGCCCACTTACAACTACAACCTAGCCCAGTGTTTCCATCTCTTGTCCTGTAGACCACCTGCACTGTACAATGAATTATACAGGATTCCTATTTGGCGAATGCTGCCGATGGCAGTGCAGGTCTTGAGGACTTGAGTTGGGAAAAACTGTGACACAAAATGAAAAGATGGACTCACAAGTTCTCTTTTCTGGTGTACAGTTAGAGACTGTAGCCCATCTGTTGCACAATTTTGTATTAGCCATCCTCTGGCTTTTCATCAGTGGTCAGCTTCTTGTCCCTTAATGTGGCCAGCAGCTGCTTACTATGACAGGACAGGGCCAACTGACATGCAAAATAACCAACCAGAGACTAGCATGATGTGTAGAGGCAGATTTTCAAAGCAGGGCCACAAGAAAAAAAACCCTGCAGGTAACACATCAGCGTGCTTTGAAAGGATATTTCACTTAAAAGCTACTAAATGCTTCAAGGAAAATACATGAATGATTTTTTAAGACGTCAGGGACAAAGTTATGTGGTAACATCTAGAGCTCACAAGTTCAATCCCCAGCCATGTCATAGCCATCTGTGGCCAGGAGTTCAAGAGAGCATCTGGGTGGGTAGGATGGCCCCCGTCACTTAGCATGATGCTAGCCAATGTGGGCATCTGTTAGCTTTCTCCTCCAAGCACTTTCAGTTGTCAGATAACACTGCGTTAGCAGTAGTTTGTGAAGATGCAGTGGCTGGCTTCACATGACTCAGAGGAAGCACATACTAACCTTCACCCTCCTAGACAGGTAGAATAATGTGATTTGGGAGACCTTGCTAGAGGGAGAAAATTAGGGGGAAAATTATCCCACCCGCAAAAAAAAAGTTATGTGTAAATGCTTTGTTGTCGGGAAACTTTGCTCTTTGTCAGAAGCTACCTTTGTTGTTAGTGGTAGTTCTTGGTCTTTTTTGCGTGGTTTGGAAATTTGTGGTATAGATTTAATGAATGGCATGTCTACAGCCTACATATCGCTTCTTGTTGAAATAATACAATGGCTAAAACTAAACTCTGTGAACAAGGTACTGTTACTGTAGCTGTGCACTGTCTTTTTTGTTTTTTATAACTCATGTAATCACAAGGTAAAAACCTTTTAATCCCCTGTTCATCTTTCGTGAGGGAAGCCATTTTGTGTCTGGAAGGGTACCGCACAGCTTTATCAGTTTATAAAGCATGACCACTGGAAAAAAGGAAAGAGGTCTACCTTTTGCTGCTATGAAATGTTCTGAAACCAGACAACATATCAGGGCTGATTTATGACACGGACTAACATTACACTTTAAAAGAAAACTTGTTCAAAGGAAACTGATTGCAAGACAAATATAATTACTTTTTTTGCATCTTTAAACTGCAGATGGCGACATTTAAACAGTTCAGCTTTATTGACAATGGCGACAGATGGAAACTCCCTACGACTGATGGATACAATCATCAGTCAGCTTAAGCCTAACTGCTTGTTAAGTTTGTACCCTGTCAGACAGATAAAACCCGCTGTATGGAAGTGTGTTTACATGGATGTGCAGAAAGCCTGTCAGAATAAAATGAAAAAAAAAAGTCTCTTTTTTCTGTGGCCAGAAAAGAAAGAGACTTGTTAGTTTCTCACCAGAGAGCTGTTCTTCCATGGATATATTTGGGGGGTCAGTAATTTGATTTACTTACATCTGTAAAAGCCCAGCACCATGGCTGTGCCTGATACAGTCGTACCAGCATTACACAAGCTGCCATTCTACCATATCAGTGTCACTGCTGTGTTGATAATGTGTCAGATAATATCTGATCAATAACAGTCCCGAAACTGACCAGTGATGAATGGGGGAGATAGCAGCTGACAAATAGTGTGCATGACAACAGAGGGGCTACAACCTATAACCGTACACCTATATACTGTCGCATTAATGTAGGTGGCGCTCATAAAGTGGCCATTGAGTGGATGTACAAGGTAATACAAGCTATTAAAGTGAACAGTGTGAGTGGTGCAATTGGACTCAATGTAAATTCAATCATTTCAAAAAGTGGGCCAGAGTAAAGACACACATTTATAGTTATGATTGCAGTTCTAGTTCTAGTTATGAGACTTAATGCTAAGCACAACAGCAAGAGGACGGGTCATATTTAAGGAACAAGAAGTACATAGAAGGGAAAAGAGACACACCTCAAAAGAAAGAGAAAGGGAGGAGCCATGAGGGGAGGGAAGGCAGGAAAAGGCAGGCTCAGTGAAAGTAGGCTGACGTGATAGGGCAGGAGAGGTGGGAGAGGAGTCCACCTTTGGCATCCCATAGATCTGGTTTAATTGGCCGACAGTAACGTAATTCTGTAGGCCAGGAGGGAGACGCAGACATGGGCAGGAGGAGAATAAAGAGGAAAGGCATGAGACAAACAGTTAAAGACTGAGCAGCACACAAATGACAGTTACCAATAAAAAGGAAATGTACTGTATCTCCGTTTATAATGTCCCATTACACATTTCATAAGAAATATTTTAAAGACTTTCTCCTTGATGGAATTCTCCACTAAGTGTTTCTCAACATCTCTGCCTCAATAACTTTCTGCCACATCTGCAGCATGCTGTCCATTACCATGGACAATCAGTTCCTTGAAAAAGCACCGACTCAAAACGCACTGCTAATTGAAGGCAATGGGCAGGTGCTTCAACAGAGAACAATCATTTTAACAATCTCCTAAAAAGAAACAGATAAGAAAAATGTTGAAAACACACTTATGATATTAGCCAATGCTGAATCTAAATCACCTGCCCACTGGCATCTACAGGGCTTTGTAACGTGATGTGATGACATGACATCTTATAAATGATCCACCATTTTGGCAGGGTTAGTCGGTCTAGGCTGATTCTGAAAGAATCCTTCCTTTTTTACCTGCTTTCCTTGGTTTTGTCTAATCTGTGGCACATGGACTCGCTAAATACGTTTGCAGAGCTGACTAGCATGTGGACCTACATGACTACAAGATCAGGCAAAATCAAAGAAAGAAGTTCATACTCGTCAAACATCACATAGGACTTTGAGTGACTTGAAAATTTTAAATTACACAAAAGAACAGTCATTAAGACACACAGCAGCTAGGAAAAAGGTAGATTTGAGACCAGATTCTTCTAATTTGATTCACTTTTTTTAAGCATGACAAGCAATGAACTAACCCTGCCAGTGTGGCAGAACAATCCCAAAATGCAGCACAATGGTATTATAAGTATTTTGAGTCAATGTTTATTCTGTTCCGTTACTAAATACAGAGAAATGCATGAAAATACTGTCAATGGTAATGAGTCATATGCTACAGATAGGACAGATAGAGGCTGAAAAACACTGAAGTATTCCTTAAAGATCACTGACAATGTCATTAATAATGCAGTGGTTACACAAATGCATAAGCCAAGAAATGGGTCATGTATTAAGCAGGAAATTTATCAGTATGCAGCCTACATGCACACTGTCAAGAACAGACAGCAAGAAAAGAGCTAAGAGAGAGTGAAAGAGAGAAAGAGAGAGAGTGTGTAAGAGAGAGGTGAAGTAATGAAGGTGTGAGCGCTATGATACCTCGCGGGGAGCAGCTACAGCTGGGTGAAGCGTAAGTGAAAGGCCGTGCGGAGCGGAGCTGCTGAGCTGAGGGTTGCTCTTATACATCCTATAAACATCCTCCATCCTGCAGTACTCCTGAGAGCAGCCAGCACATTTACACAGGACAAGAGTTCATGCTGTCAGTCACTGCTGTACACACAGCCCTCTGTCAGCTTTATTCACACTCACACTCACTCACAGACAACAAGCCAACACTCTCTAACTGCAGTAGTGAATCTATCAGGGATTAGAAATGGTAAAAACATGAAAACTAATAATACCTGTTTTTCACAGAACATGATCTTTCAGATTTTAAAATGCAGCTAAGCAGTTAATGAATTAGAATTTCAGTCTGGTTAACCTTCAGTGAATAAATTTAACAGTGAGTGATTTAGTGTTACTGTTATTTTTAACAGGCCTACATATACAGTGTATATGTAGGCCTATTAAAAACTAGTAATGCATATCAGAAGAACATTTAATAACCATTCTTTTATTTTTTTCTAACTGCTTACTAACTGGAGAACAGAGCAAAAACCAAAAGATACAATTTCTCTTCAGAAAGAACCAAAATTTTGATTCTAATCCCTAAATCTATAAAAATAAAGCCATTAACCAATTAACCCCAATATAAATTTAGCTAAAGGTTTCTGATTTTGTTCCTCTTTATAACTACAGTCTATGAAAAAAACTGGCTTCATTTTTTGTTTTCGAGTTTGTTTGTTTTTTTTTACCATGTTTAATCCCATTTCAAGTTCCTTGTATGCTTTCTGCAGATGTGCTGGTGTTCAGGACAGAAGGAGCACATATTATATCACACACTCTCACAACAGCATGATAAAACAGCTTCCTCAGGTAGAGTGATTTCCTTTCAAGTGCTCTGTTTACACGCAGCCAGGGTCACAAAAGTCATTCAGTGCAGTGAACGTCCACCACGTAAATATTCAGTAGCACAGTCTGAGGTGACTGGCCAACAGTGTGAGTGGGTGGGGACTGTACTGGTCAGTGTTTTGACGCGAGTTGTTAGTAGGAGTCAGAAACATTCAGGCCACATGCACTGACCGTTAGCTTTACCTCCCGAGGCCTGCTGGGATACAAACTGCAGGAGGAAGTGTAAAAATAGGGAGCAGCCAGCCGGCAGAGGGGATTCTGGAAGCGGGCATCGTCTAACAGGTCACTGATGCGAAGCACATCCTGTTTAGAGGTTACATGTCAGCCACTGCCTGCCTTGCAGGGCTTTCATTTCCTGTTTCCCCACTCAGACGTGACGGGTATCGTTTATAAGACATTGCACAGGACGTGCAGATACCAACAATTCTGACAATCTGTTTGGATTCGCAATTGCTGGAATTGTCTGAGCAAACTTGCCTCGCAGACATTAACCCCACTGTGTTAGATTCACTGAAATGAAAATGATCTTACTCATTCTAACATGCGCATAATGAAAAGTTACTGTGTAAAAGTCCATGAGCTATGAGTTCATTCAGGGTAAAATGGACCACAATGGGTAAGAGATGATATTAGGAAGTGGGTAAGAGAAAAGGGGGAATATAAAGCCATTACTTCGCTGTTTTGGCACACCATTCCAAAATGTAAATGCAATGCTCATTTTCACACAAAAATAACCTAGACTTACCTCCTTCATTGTGTTGGAGCTTTTAGGGAAAGTTCTGCCTCCAGTTAGGCTGAGGTATCTCTTCTCCAGACCAGCTAGACGCTCCTTCTCCTGAAAACCCAGACATATGTGAGGATGTGAAAGATTGGTAGTGGTGCAGATAAAGCAGTGCCAATCCAAATTCTTTCTTAGGGCTTTTTTTTTAAACCCATTGCACTGTTTATGCCACCATCATAGAGCTAAATACTATCGGCAACGGTGAGAGAAGATGTCAGTTATATATAAATGTTTGCAGTGGGTTCATATTTTACATTTTTATTCTATTTTATCTTTCCCTAAGGTCCACATTTGTGTGGATTTATGTAGCAAAAATAGGCAGAATTCATTTTTACGTGACCATTTTCCAACCTCTGTTTATCACTTATGCTGCGTTTACATGTGGGCGATAGACAGACAACTGCCAACCGGATATTCCATTGTTTTCATTGGAGCTGCAACGAAAAATTCTGACACTGCCAGCGGCAACATTCTGCAGACAGCAGCGGTAAGAGGAACGCTCCATCAAGAATTCAATTTTCCAAGCATTTGCCATCAACCACAGCTGTGGTATAACCGGGAGCCATGGATGCCAGAAGTCTCGTTATTGAATTCCAGATGAACCCAGTATTACACAACAAAAATGCATCCTGCTTTCTTTTTCCATATTAAATAAACAGTCTACATTGCTAAAGCTCCTCTGATAATTATATATTTTCTCCGGTAATGCTGTCACCATGCCAACACTTTGGCTTTATGCACCCGTCGGTCGTGTACCACTATGAGACGCAAAACAATGTTTTTTCAAGCCATTAATTAAACAGGCTGTTTCTGTTACTGTCTTAAATACTGATATACATACATGGTCTCTGTTGTGATTGGTTGCTTGTATTGCGCCTCATTCAGATAAAAGTCTGGGCTGAATCACTCCTTATAATCTCAGTGTCTGTGGGCAGAGCTAAACTGCTACAGGCTAAATAGGTAAATGTGTTGTTTTTTGTGACATCCCAAAAACAATGAATTCAGAACTTTAACACTGCTTGCATATTCCATCAAACTCCTATTAAAAATAGCTTTTTTCATGATACGGTCCCGTTAAAGTGGAAAATCAAACTAGTTACTAGTAACATTTGCAATGCCATTGTTTTGACTGTGGTTAAGCTTCCCATCTTTCATCAAAACATGGTCACATATTGTGTGGCTGTTGCCCACAAGTAGTGCATAACACTATGCATGTTCTGAAGTAAGTGACAACTTGAAAGGGATTGGTTTTATTAACATTAAAATACTTCCAGTGTGCCTGGAAAATACTGGACAGATCAGGTTCGGTATCAGCAGATACTCAGTATTAAAGGACCTGGATCAGCATCAGGGGCAAAAAACTTGGTCAGAGCATCCCCACCCATCATAGCACACTCTGTGTTGATGAGTAAGCACTTTCAGGAGGCTAATGTGACCTAATGCACAGTATGATGGTGTACCTTCTGAAGCAGCTGCAGGGTGACACTCCTGTCCTTGGCCAGCCTCTCACACTCCTGCGCAGCCTGCAGGCCCAGCTGACTGGCCTGGCTCTCCAACGCTGCCACCTTCTCCTGCACAGCAACCAACATCAGTCCAAACAGGCTAGAGATTTTAAATAACAGCGCTGGCAAAGATGCTACAGCAGCCAAAAAAAAACTTGTGCTGTGTTCTACTATATTGCTTCCTGCTCCCCTACTTAAATATCGGTTTGAAGTATTTGCCAAAACATGAGATTTAAGCAGGTTAATTTAATTGTTATTTGTGGACAGTGACATTCCTTCAATGTGTTCAGTGGTGCTAAAATGCAATGTTCAGTAAAGATGTTAGGTATCACGATGGCGATATGAGAAAACATTTTTTAACAGTGTATCAATGACTGTATGTGCTGCAGATACTTTTTGCTGTGTAAACAGAAATACAACTCATCTTTCCTTTAAGAAAAAGCAATACAAATAATACTAAATTACAAAAGCACTATTCACTATTAAGCAAAATAAAAATAATGTAACACTAATAGCTACTTTAATCAGAACTGCATTTTTTGTGCATTGTTAGGCTGAAAAACAGTCATCATTCTCTGAACAGCTTATTAAATACAAATTTCTTTAAAAACCTTTTATAGTGATGCAGATCTGTTGTGACAGCTGCCATTACTGCTTCATACATTTTACACACAACAGTAGGTGTAAGAATAGTCATGTTTGAGGCATTTTCACAGGCTAGTAGCTCTGGATAGAGTACTAAGCTGTGCACATGTGGCTGTTTAGTCGAACATTTAAGCTACTTGCTCTCCACACAGGCGAGCATAGATCAAGACCAGTGCAGGGAAGTGCTTGTTAGTTTTAACGCTATGCCTAATTACGTCACTCTGGCACGGAACCTGTGTTCTCTCATGACAGTCCTTAACAATGTGTTTATCATGGAAACTCATATTGCAATAATGATAAAAATTTATCATATCAAAAATGTATTGTGCAGCCTTTGTGTAAGACACTTTTTTTCTAAATGATTTCAAAGACATTGATTAGTCAGTTCTACATTTTTTGAAGATTTCTCTTCAAATGAGCAAATATTTCTGCAGCCGTGTTGCTTATTAACTTTGTTTTCTGCAGCTACAGCGTTAATACAGATTTATTTCAGAGCACCACAGCCATCTCCACAGCTTTCAGTGCTTAAAGTCACAAGTAGATCAAATACTGTAGACCTTAGGACCATACTAGAGAGCAGGTATTGACTGTGTTCAGGAGCAGGTGCGTTCCATACCTTCCGCTTGGTCACACTGCTCTGGTACTGAGCTCTCTCCTGCAAGAGCTGTTGGGAGATGGTCTCGCGCTCCTCTTCCAGACTACTCTCCTTCTCCAGCTGCTGGAACTCAAGGTCCTCAAACTGCTTTGTTTCTGCTTCCAGAGTCTCTGCTTCCTATAGAATGCACGCACACAATCACACACAAACACCAAGCATGAGGTCAGAAAGCATCATCTGGAGTCCATGTGGCAGGCAGTGCCAGCCAGACCAGAGCAGCTAGAGAGGCAGAGGGCACTCGGCAGGACAACCAGCCTCATAGCACAGCCACTGCACGCAAAGCAACACGGTGCGGGGCATGAGATGGGTGTTTTGGCTTGACAAAGACGGTCTACTGTATGCAGTCATATGTAAAAGTTTGAATACACCCAGTAAAATGACATTTTATTTATTTTCTCCTCTACAGAGAACAAACTTAAATATGGCACTTTCTGCCACTTTTATAGCACAATTTCTATTTATTTGCTGAGCTTAACTTGGAAAAAAAGTTAAATATAAAATGTAGAATGTGCCATAACTATAAATATTGTTTAACATGGGCATTTTTCAACCACTCATTATCCTTAAAATTAATCATGTTGTTTCATTACTGCCTTTAAGACTGATATATGTAAATAACCTCTTTTCTGATTGGCTGCCCTGTATTGTGCCTCATTCCAAAAGCAGCCTGGGCTAAAATGTACAGAAATGTTTAATTCAGACTGATCTTTAGGGGCTGCAGAAAAAATAAGATGATGTCTAGCTGTGTTAACACCACGTTAAATCATTTTCCCAGCACCTTCCCTTAAATAACTGCAGCTCTTTATCCCTTCAGCACGAATGGGCAGGGGGCTAACCAGCTGTAGGCTGAATGGGCATATAATAATAGGCATATGATAAGCATGGACCACAGAGTGAACAGTATGTTTTGAAACTTGTATGTTTATATACTACCTCAAACTCAAAAACAGCAAGGAAAATGCTTGTCCAGGATATGGCCCCAGTATATCTACATGTAGCATTGTACTAGACCTTGTCTCTGCTGCTGCTGCTGGAAAAAAAACTTTGCTTGATCTGCAGTGAATCCCAGATGCTTCCAAAACAGATCTCAAGGACATTGGGCAACCCTTAATGTCATGTCATCAAATGCTTTTGACATGAAAAAGCCCGGGGGCTGACAGTTTGTGTCATCTCTGCTTTCTCAGAGCAGCCCATGGGGTTTTTCGTCTCTGTAAAGAGGGCTAGTCATCAAAAATTCTGTCTCCAAAACACAGACTGACAAGGCTTTCTCAGCACCCTGATGAGGACAGCTCTAACAAAATGAGGAAAAATATCAGACAAAGCACTGTTCCAGAGTCTACCAAGTCAGAAACATCTTCAGTAAATAGAGAAACAGACAGCGTTCCCTTCTAATCCCAGAATGTTTGGATGCAAGTGTGACAGAAAAGGTATGCGGATGACACAATCAACCAATTAATCTCTACATTAATAGATTAGTAGAAATGTTAGGGGTTAGAGGTAGCTTCGGTAAGACACTGCAGACCCAAACAGACATGCACAGCTATAGAGAATGTTCACACATTCAAGACAAAGCTGAGTGCTAACGTACCCTGAAATCACCACACAGCCCACTGTCTTCTAATTAGCTGAAATCAAGGCTAAAGAGGGACTCCCAGCAGAAATAAAGGAACAGTTCCACCAATAAAACTAACAATGAATAAAATCTAGCAGCCACTGAAAGATTTTCCTTTCATACAGCTAATTTATTGGCATACTGTAATGCTAATGTTTAGATTTTGTTCATTATTAGTGCTAAAGCGAGGTCACTATTCCTTTGAAACTGGTAAAGCGAGGTCACTATTCCTTTGAAACTGGTACTGGATGATACAGATTTCATTTTTTTAAGGTCACGGCAAATTCCATGAAATATTTGTATCCAAAAAGGCAAAAAGAGCCCAGTGTCATACTTGTGCATTTGCATCATGCATACCAACATCCCACATCTGCTGAAGTCTCCAAAATGACTGGTTGGGATTGTGTGTGTGTGTGTGTGTGTCTGTGTTTGTGTGTGCTCTGAGAGACTGGAGTTGGTGTGTCTGGATCCACAGAGGGTCATTTGAGGTTGTGGATAGCAGCACGTCTGACAGTCCTGATGTCTGCGGGGGGCGAGACTGACCCTTTTGAGTTGTTCCTGTAACTGCTCCCTTAGAGACTCAGGGCAGTTATGGAGCTGGCTCTTCAACTCATTGTAGGTGTCCTGAAGCCTCTCCAGGGCTTCCCTCTTGGCGTCAACATTAGCTCTTTCCTAGAGAAACCGTCCAGGGGTAGAGAGAGAGAGAAAGAGAGAGAGAGAGAGAGAGAGAGAAAACACACTGCTCAAATCCACGCCATGCACAAGCATCTGAGGTTAGAGGACATGACAGATTTGGTTGGGCCAGAGAAGACAGAGACTAAACCTACTGCATTTATTAGAACGTAAACTACACTCAGTGGACTACACGGTAAAACTCTACATACGGAATTAACTCCCTACACATCACGACTATACAGGACTGAAGGCCTTCAACAGGGCCGAACAGGCTTCTATTCTCGGCATGCCTTAGGCTTTGGCTCAAGTAATATTCCACTGGTATGTGCATGATGTTACGCCACCTGAATCTAACATCAAATGGCTTATTTCCTCCAGTCTGGCGATCATTTGATACCACAGTGAGTGCTATTTTGTAGCTAGCCTTTTCTTTCTTCCATCTCAGAAAGAAAGATTTGCGACGGCAAAGTAATTATTACTTTGGAAAACTGAAGTTAGTCCTTAGAACATTCTAGGTCTACATTGACATGCCTGAATGCATACGGACCACATTCATGCATTTTTCTGTTCTCCAGACGACTAAAACATTCCAAGACACATTACGACACATATTTTTCCTTACTCTGTCTGTGCAGTTAAGTCAAATGTGACTAATAACAAACTGGGACGATAATATGAAATATGTAATACTTAAAATATGCAATACTTAAAAAGCTAACAATTCAGCGATGACCCAGTGAAAGAAGTTTACTGCTGTGATCACATTGGACAGAGTAGGGCATTTGATACAGTCAACATCAATCTAGCATACACTGCTAGCACATGAAAGTACAGACACATGAAACGACTTATATTCTGAGGAATGGGATTGTTGAATGTGACTTCAGTGTGCTAAGCTACCACTGCTATAGAGCTACCAGAGCTTACGGATAGGGAAAAAAGCTCAAAAGGGTCTTTACTGAAATACTTGAGTCAAATATCCAGTCACAAAAGCACAAAAAAACACAAACGCAACACTCTCCAAACAACTTGTACCTAAAAGCAAAATTTATTTACCTTAGTCACTAGCTAGCTAATCGCTAACTAGCACAGGCAGAGTTTTCGATTAAATTTCCTTAAAAAAGCTGTCAACTGTAGACTTTTTGTAATCTTTAATTATGATAAAGGGGAACTATTATGATTCCTCAGAATCAAAGCTTTCTTAGATTCTGTTGACATCAGTTCTCACTGTGAAGTAGGCTTGAAGCTGTCTCTCTAAAACTATGTTATGCTATGGGCTGCATTTACAACTATGTGAAGCTACCCTCATATCTACACTATGCTTCCTTTATAGGAACTATCTATGAAAGGAAAAGGTTAACTGAAATAGAATGCAGATATAATACCGTGAAAAATCAGAGACCAGCCTCATTTATTTCATTTCCACTCAAAATGGCCATTAAGAAGAAGTTATTCATTTTTCAGCATCAGAGAAAAAAGCAGAAGACATTTATTTACCAGAAAATTACACAGAAGACTCAACGACTAAATATAATATCTCATTTGGCAGTATTTAGTGAGTCCTGCCTTTGTATGTCAGTGTTGGATGTTGGTTGCATTTTCTGCTTCTCACAATCGAACTTGTCCAAAACCAGTCCATCGTTTACAGTGGACAGATAGAGAGATCTAAAGCACGAGTGGATTTTGATTTTATTTCTCCAAGATAAAAGCTTTAAGTACTGTTTATCTGCTCTGATTATCAGTTTTTTGTCCCCTTTTTTGGCATTTATTTATTTTTTAATTCCATTTTTTTACTTATTTCAACTTTCCATAGTTTCCTTTTGCAAATTGTTTATCTTTCATCGAATCTATTCAGAAACATCTCCAGAAAATTAACTTGTTCTTCATAGCTGCAACTTGTACTAACTTACTTTGACATTAAATTAAACAAAGGATGGCCCCTGACTTTTGCACAGTGCTCTATATATTCTGTTAAAGAAATGACCTCGAGTAGTTTTCTGAGCACATTCAGAGTGCGTGACCCTGTGTTTCTTACAGCACTTTCAGCCAAAAGGTCAGAGCTTCCAAAATTCCCACTATCCTTCCAAAAGCCTTCACAGTGCAAGCTAGCAAGAAGAACCGCCACAACCACTAGCAAGAATAGCTAGCAAGAACAACCACCACAAACCACACTGAGTGTCATGAGCTTCAAAAAGCGAACGCAAAGAAGCCTTTATGCACGAGATCCACCAGGAAACTTCAGCTTGACTGAGTCTTGCGCCACTCAGGCTGCTAAAGCCAGCACGCTAATCCCCAAGTTTGAGTTTGCGTTAAGCTAAAAGGCTTAGAGACAGAGGGAATGAGAGAGATAGAGAGACACAAAGAGAGAAGCAGAGAAGGCGTGAGTGCGCAGGGGAGCGATGAGTGGGTTATAGGTTAATGGAGGCTGATTAGTGAAGCCAAGCTGTGTGTAGAGGACCTGATGAGGGACCATGAGAATATAAAATTCACCTCTTCTGAAAGTAGCCTGTATTAACAATGAAACTGGTAGGATGCTAATTTTAACTAAACCAGTGAACCAATAAACTCCTCAGATCCTCTGATGGAGATGGCCAGATGTGATGGATAATGGGTTTGACTAGTTTTGTAACTGTGTCCCTTTTATTGTCTTTTTTTTGTTTTACCTGGGGATGGCAAAAGCGACCAGCATAGGTCTGGAGTGGCCATCCTGGAGAATAGCATGCCTTTAAGGAATGTCAAAGACCAGAGAAGGCTGTTCAGTCCAGAGAGGCTCACCAGCATCACACACACACACACACACACACACACACACACATTTCTATATGGACAGAGCTGACTTGTGACTCAAACATCTAAGAATGTCATGTGAGGAACTATATGGCTTAAATAAAGAAAGCTTCTGAAGAACACAAGCCTAGTGTTATGACACAACCTCCTTCAAGTAATGCTTCAGCCAAAAAAAGGAATTTACACAATTTTCTCTTTACTCCTTAATGTAGTGAGTCTGTCAAGACCTGTCTGGTGCCCTAAGTTTCCATGTGGCTAAGGAAGATATGGGGTGAGAAATATACGGCAGATCTGCTCAAAGGAGCCACCCATTTGAGAATCAACAGATCACCAAAGGTCTACCCATTTAGGCAATCAGTCTGCTGATTTACCTTCCCACAACATACAGCACTCTAGGCTTTCGCTAGCTGAGGATACTATCACGATTGCCAATTAAGTCAATTGTTAATCAATACAATTTAATTATTCGAAAACATGCTGTCCACTGTTTTAAGACGCATAAATTGTATTTGTTCTCAGTCTCTTTTCTAGCTTTCTTTTAATAAGCAATGTTAATCCATGCCCTATATCAGCCCCAATATGTTATCTGGCTTTAAAACATTCTATAGGAGCATGAGGTAGAATTTTTTTCTTATCTGTGCAGAAGCTTTCCACATACAGAATAGCTTTACTCATGAAACATGAACAAGGGCTTAAAAGATTTTTTATGTTATGATTACATCAGTTATTAAAAACAAATAGTAACAGTAGCCTTTTGGCTTCTTCACATGGTTAAGCTTTAGCCAGTATTGCCTATAGAGCTATGTATAGGCTGTAAAGACGAGACTAAACTAAAAACTACCAAATTATTCCAAGAACAAAGGTTAGCTTTTCTTTTGTTTTTGTCTGATGTGGGCAGACAGGGCAGGTAATGTGGTGATACCACATTAACTGCTGTGCTAAGAAAGTTAGCGTAAGGAGCAGCCTGGAGTCCATATTTACGGCTCATTTTTCTGTGTGTTCAGATGTTACGCTTGTGGTGCAGGAAAGCAACCTACCTGCTACTTGAGAGTATATTTTGCACAGTATCATGAGCCTAAAGAGCGGTCAATACAAAGTGATGCATACAAACTCTCAACTGTTAATCAATGTTGCCATTTATACCCGACGCACACAACAAGCAGTGCAACAGCACGCATGACGTGATTCTTTTTTTTGGCCCATGCTACTATAGCAGCAAAATATGGGGTTGGTGGGGCATGATTGTTTGGTGGGCAATGACCCTCAGGCAATGGGCCTGGGCATGCCTAGGTCATCACATAAACTTCCAATACTTTTTGGCTTGCCACGTACCTACAATGCAAAACTAGAAGCAAATTCAGACACTTGGCAGACCGACTGCATTTGGGGTAAGGGGGAAATTGTGTAAATGTGTTTTTTGGCTGAACTGTGGCTTTAAAATAATATTCCTTGTTTCTGATAGCATTTTTCCTAAGCAACGTGTGTTTATGTTTATAGAAGCCAATGTAATGGAATACTGCATTGTTATGAGCATTCAGGTCTTCAGTAAGCTGTGAGATGAACATGTTTTGTACCTTGTCTTTCTCCCTCTGGATGGCATTCTCCAGTTCGTTGAGTTTGTGCTGCAGCTGATTGATGATTTCAGTCTCAGCCTCGATCTGCTCGAGCTCTGCCTGCTTCTCACCCTGCAGTAAAGCCCTCTCCATCTCCGCCTGCAAAAAAAGAAGCGTACGTACACAAATGCCTCTGAGCTGCAGCTGACATTCCCTTCTCCTCCAGGCATTCCTCTAATCCAGCTCTTATCCTTTTTAATTAGGAAGGGACTTCTTTTGTGTGTATAAACCTGATTTACCCCACACACTCTATGATCGTGTGTGGTGTTGGGGTCTGTGTGGGGGTAGTGCTCCTTTACTTGACTCGAGCCCGAAAAGGCCCAACAAAATGCGGTTTTGGGCTGGGTTCGGGGTGATTTTTCACATACAACATCAGGCTTGAAGTACCAGTTTATCCTTGCATGACATTTTCTGTCGACCAAATCAAGCGCTTCGCAACAAAGCAAAGCACGGTTAAAACCAGTCTGCAGTAATCTAGCATGTGGGAGTGGGTTCAGGTCAGGCTTTAGACTAAGCAGTATCAGTCAGGCCTGGTTGGATCAGGTCTCAAGGTCATTGGGTACGTATGAGGTTCGGGCTTCAATTCCACACTTGTGTAGATGCCTACTAAGGGGTTGTGTCTGCCTCTGTGTGTGGACTTGATTATGTATGTGGCATAAATAGACTTTGACTTGGAATTTTGAACACTCCAATATATTTTAATATATGTGTGAATAGTTTCTTTAATTTGAAACTAGTACAAAGTACTGAAATTTGTCTAAAGTAGATCATTTTTTACGTGGATGGCTTAAGTTTGTCTTAAGAACTGAGTTCAGGGTAATGTGTTACAGTTTAATTTTTTCCAGTAAGAAATCAGCATAAGGTATTACACCTTAAATCGTTTTTTATTAAAACACAAAAAGGTTTACTTAATTGCAGTAAATATGCATTTTGGTAATGACAACTCTTACTGTTGCGCACTGATTTTCAGACTTTGGGACACGTTTACTTCAAAACAGTGGGATCTAACTGCTCACCATGTGGCGATGAGGGACAGGGATGCAGTCTCACTTCCTGCTCTAAAATGCAGGGGTGTGGCTAAAATAAGGCTCCGCCCTTGGATTAAAACTCTTTTTGTTTCGGTAGTGACATGAAAAGGCAGGACAACATTTTTTGAAAAAGGTTTAAAAAAATACCTTCCAAAAAATGTACATATTACACAAGTTGAAATGTGAGGGTTTAGGGTTGGGACCGACACCTCCAAATAGACCACACCCTATAGATGATGATTTGTATATATTTACTTTATTAATCTCAATTAATGGCTTGGGTTTAAATAGACCATAACATAATCCTTGTATATATCTGAGGTCTGAATACTCGATTGTTCTTTTAAATAGTTATTTAACTTTGGGACCATGGTTTGAACTAATTTGGTAGCATAGTCTATATAAATATTTTACTTTTACGTAATTTGTGGATGCATGTGCTACTGTGTCAGCTTACTGTATGGCTTCAATTGTGTATGTGACCAGAGCAGACTGAGTGCTGTAAACCCAGCAAGCAATCTGTTGAAGCATCTAGCATACTAATATATAACTCATCCCAATGCAAAGAAAAGAGAACCCAACCTCACCCTAATAGGCCAGGCTCAGTTTACATTCCGAAACAGCCCTTCATTCCTTTCCAGTTGGTACAGATTTGTATTTTTGAAATAATGAGTACTGACATTACTTTTTTCGAGGCAGTAATCATTAAAGCAATCCCATTACCGTTTGAGTAAAGTAATTTTGTGCTTTTGTAATAGATTACTTATTTGAATCGCTACCCCAACACTGCTCAAGAATTCTGCACCAGACTTGGACTTATGAGTGAGATGACTTCATCTAAAGAAGAATTTGAACTGGATTAGCTTTACTGGAGGTGGTTCTGCAACGTAATTTGTGGGATTTGACTGGCTAATTTGTACCTTGATAAAGCATCTGCATAATTTCCCCAAATTACTACTGATAGCCAGACACAGACATCAGCGTGACGTTACTGGCACCACGCTCAGTAAAAACACTAAGGCACATGGATGTCCCTATTAACAGGTTTTGTTTTTACGTTATTATGAGGAACAGGTAATGAACAGGACAGGATGCTATAAAGGTGCTCCACATTCAGCCAGTTAGAGGGTTGAATTCAATTACAGTTGAATTTGGCTTTAGATTTGGATGTGAGTGTGTTTGCTTGTGTATCTTACCTCCTGTTTGGACTCCTGTAGCTGCTGTTCCAGCTCTGTGACACGAGCTTTCAGCTCATCAACCCTCGCCAGCACTCGCACCCGCTCCTCCTCCAGATAACCCAGCTCCAGTGTGGACCCACCCCCGGACACCACAGAGTCTTCCACCTACATATACACACACACACACACGAGCAGTTTAACGGTCGGAGAGGAGTCTTTAAAATATTGTTTAAATTCATCTTTTTCAAACTGCAAACTGTACCTGTACTTAAAGGGGAATTCAACCAATTTTTCACAAATTCTGAATGATTTACAGGCTGAGATGTAAACAGTCATTCAGAGTGATCTACTTTGTAGAAAAACTTTACAATGGAAATACTAGGAGCTAGGGGTCGCAATGTCAGCGCAACTATGGCCATTTCATTTACAATCCAAAATGACCAGTGAACACACACGTCTTCTGAGCTTTTATATGCCATGTTGATGATGGTAAAATAGTGATAAATCCAAAAAAAAGTTTTCTTTGGGAACTATTTTATCTCTGCATATATCTCTCCACCATGAATGGATTTTTTTAAAAATATGTTTCATGTCAAAACCTTCTCAAAGCTATCAAAAAACAATGTTTTAAAAATCAGGCATCATATTCCTAACCATTGCATGTAATAACTTTCTTGGAGAGAGCATTTAGACGTCTTCAGATGTCTGAATTCTATCACAATTATGGTGAACAATTGTGACTCTGAAAGTTTCTCTAGAACAGAGAATATTACATCAAACCACTCTAAATGACTTTGTTTACATCTTAACCCCTTAACTATGCAGGATATTTGAAAAAAAAATGATGGAATTCACTCCAAGTACTCCAGTTAAGGCAACTGCAACATTAATGAAAGGAAACCCAGATGCAGCCTTCTGCAATCTTAAGCTGGGGTTACATCATTTTTAGTTCTGATTTATCCTTGAGTTGCCCTCTCCGACAAATTTTCAAAATCGTGTTTGGTGTCCGAAGTTTGCTTCTTTAGTTTTCCACTGGAGCTATGAGGCTAATGTAGCTAACAATTAATGTCACCCAGAATCTTTCTGGGTGACAGCAGGGTGACCAGATGTCATCTTTTTCCAGGACATGTTCTCTTTTTTGGGAAAATAAAGTCTGGCCAGGATTTCTAAATGGCCTAAAATGTCTGGGATGTGGCTTTGCCTTCATGTTGACATTTGCTTTTTTTACAGTCTGACTCCGTGCCACCCTCCAGGCCCTAGTGTCCCCAAAAAGGGGTCATCTTAGGGGACACAGACTTCTGTTATATTAACTCATTTGTTCCAGTGCAAAATTAAAGACAAAAAATTAAATTAAAGACACTTAAGCACACAAAGCACTTATTTTGGCCAAATGACTATGTTTGAGATAGCGGGGAAATCATGCAAACGACTAAAAAGGTACATTAGTTTTGTAGAGTAAGATGGTGGGATGGATGACTAATACAAAGAATACCCACTGCCTGAGCTTGAGGAAAAACAACAGCAAAAATATAAAACGTATTTCAATTTGTAGGAAAATGCTGCAGCTTTTGCTGCAGATTATACAGTTAATGATGTAGCTGAGATGCTTTTCCAACCACATCTTCATGCAGTATGTGATAATGGGACTGGAATGATTCCCTTAAGACTCTGGGATTCTGAATAAGACTAAATAAGACAAAACTTGTTTTAAGATGACATGCACGACTCACTGTTCATTTGTTTGTACAGTAGTTACTCTTGTTTCACGCTAAAACAGCACAACACTCAGAGGTTCTGACCTGTGCACTGTCTCCGTTCGACAGGGCGTGTGTTGTCCTCACCTCCTGGTGTGTGCTCTCTGTGCTGCTGCACTCCTCTCTCACATTTTCCTCATCGCTCTCCCTCTGCCTGGGCGCCATCCTCAGCGAGGCGCTGCCAGCCGTGTCCATGGAGGGTCGCCTGATGCCTGTCGCCTCACCCGAAACCAACCCGGAGAAGCCCATGGTCGGCTCGTCTCCCTTGTTGTACTCCGCACACAGGTTCAGGATGGTCTCCAGCCGCTGACGCTCCTGCAGAACCACAGAGCAGCAAAGTTAGAAGAGCTGGAAGCGGAGAACAGCTCCAGTCCAGAGGACACTGATAGCAATCTGAGAGAGGCAGAAATAAACAGAAGCACAGCTGTTTGGAGCTACTCTTATCTATCAGGCCTGAGTCTTCAGGCACACTGAGACTGCAAGTTCTGGCTCTCAGGACACACAGAGCACCATATAATGAGCAGACAGCTGATCAGTGTGGTTCCTCCCTCATCTGCACTGACAAGTCAACACGGCTCCGATCTCCTGCTGCTCCGTCTCTGAATGAAGGAGAGCAGCTGCCCTGAATTGTGTCTCAAGCCCACCTTAAACCAAACATAGAGGCAACGACACAGTGACCTTTTAACACTGCATAGCAACTTTGATTCAAGTATGTGGACAAATCGGCTCCATTCTTTACTACATCGCTGCATGTCTTTTGTACTTATTTAACAAATGAGAAATTATCCAATTTCCCCTTACCCTAAATTTAGTCAGTAAACAAAGACATGTTTGGTGTCTGGAATTTGCTTCTTTAGTTTTTACACTTTAGCTATGAGGCTAGCGTAGCAACAAGAAATGGAAGCCCACAGTCAATTACTAATACTGTGCAACTTCTATATCGCTGCTGTTAAAACGACACCTTTTATCTGCATGTCGTTTTTCAGTTTTTGACATAATTTGAAAGTGTCTGTTGCTCTTTACATTGTGTGTAAATTTCATGATAAATGGCCCAAAAGAAACAGCCCAAAATTACTCTGAAAAAATTCTGGTTCCACTGACTTTTTTGTGGCAGTTTTTTGATATGAAGCTACAGCCGTGCTGTCTATTTTATCTCAGCATGGCCGTCTTTGTGGAGAGGTGTGAACTGTTTTCATGGCAGGGGGTTCTCACCCCTAACCTTTCACCCCACATCGCTCAATAGCAACTCAACAGTCCCAATGTCACACAGAGACTCGACAGTGTCTTCATTGATCTGGTAACGCTTATGGGGATTTTTTTTTACATTAATTACAAATATCCAAGTTGATTTCTATTCCACTGGTGGAATCGTCATGAGGGGCCTGCAGAAAGAGCTTGAGATGGCAGACACAAAACATTTTTTCTTTTTTTATTTGGCACTACTGTTTCTTTTTGTCTGCTTCAACTACAAATCTCAACTGATTAAATCTGGGGTGATGGGGAGACTCCATTTTTCAACAAAATATCATTTGAATACTATATAGCAATACAAACTGCCCCATATGCTCTACTACATTTCCTAACCATCTTGAGGAAAAAAGAAGAGTAGAAGAGTAGAAGAGTTTGTGTTTAGTCTAAGACTCACCACATCGCACACCTTTTGTACTTAATCTATGTGAAAAAAAATTCACAGAGGAAAACGGAGATGAAAGAGAAGACAGTGCTTAGCGTTTGAGGTGCTTCATCTCAGCTCACTCTCCATAATGCTCTCTGAAGTCACGTTGAGATGGTGCTGCACTGTGATCTTGTATGATGAGGCTTCTCCAAACCCTCCATTAGCCAAACCTGTAATCTGCAGCCCACAGGCCCTACAGCTACAGCACTCTCAGTGATGTGAGAAGCACAGCTGGGGGCACTCGTCTACTAAAGCACCTCCAGCTCTTCCCAAACTACACACACAAAATTTATTACTTACTGCGTGATGAAATAGCTGCATCAGACAAAGTAAAAAACACAGTAGTTAGGGTTTATGGTCTTCTGCTTGAAATGTGTTTCTAAGACAAATATATTCTTAAAAGTAAAGGTTCCTTAATTGTTTTTGGCTTGGAAAAACCTTTAAATGGTATAGCACTGTAGAGTGGAGGGTCTATAAATGTTGAAGTTTCTTCACACTCGCACATCTAATTTACAAAACAGCTCTTTGAAGAATCATCCTTTGAAAGATTCTTCTGGTTCTTCTATGGCACCAAAGAACCCTTATGGGCACCTTTATTTTCAAAAGGAATGTCCTGATACAGTTTTCTTTGTCTCCAATCCAATACTTTTACATTGGTGTTTCAGCTGATACTGATACAGAGCCAATATGATTATGTTTTCACAGCCACATAATTTAAATAAGACATGCTAAGCCATTAATTAATACCTACAGTAAAATCATTTCTCTTTTAGGATGTGCATAATGTGATATTCTGTACTGGTGTTTTTTAGTATATGTTTTACAATGTGTTTAATATTGGCTTATGATGAAATTTGACTGACCTACTTGATGATCTGACTACCAGTTACTTAATATTCTGCAGTGACATCACTTCATTTCGGACATGTGCGTTGTGGTGCACACTCTGAACTGATGCTATTTACCATGTCATGAATACACTATGATCTGACGTTGCTCCATTGAAAGGGCTGTTCTTTCTAATTCTGGTTAAAAGCCAGGAGAAGTGCAGTGCTGCCCATAAGGCAAAAGATTTCCTTGATAGTTTTGTTTTCAATCAGTGGCAACTCACGAGTAACAAATGCTGCTTGCAATAAGTGTCAAAAAGCAGACTCAAAGCATAACAGCAACACATTCACAAGTTGAGTGAAATTTACTATTGACATTTATGTGAATTGTAGAAATAAATGATCATTTTATTAGTAGATTTATACTGTACATTATCAATGCTCTAGCTCAAGACATTATAATTAGTTTAAAATCAGCTCCAATTAAACTTCCTTTCTGTTAATTCTGACGCCCCATATTAAATCTGAAGTTTCTACTAGAAAAAGTTGTTCAGTTTTTGTATCAAAGAGACACGTCTTCTCCTGTATCTGACGCAGCTGTCTTCCTGAGAAAATTACACGTCTGAATTCCAAACAGACGGATCCTTTAATCCCTCTGTTTCTAAGCTTCTGACTGCTCCCGCAGCAGCGCAGCCTTTGAAACAGAGTAATTGAAGGCTGACATTAAATGTGCAGCGAGATCCTTACCTGGCAAATCTGCCCCAGTTTAACATTTGTGGATTTCTGGCCAAATTAAAAAAGCAGCTCAAAGAAAGTCAAGACCAAGCTGACTTGTGAGGTTTTATAAGGTCAGAAAGACCTATTCGGACAGGATTAAATTTACATGGGTGCTGGGTTAATTTCCTCTTTTGCAGGAGCAAAAACGGATCGGCCATGTTGGTGTTTTTCTCCTCTCCTCCACTGTCAAAATTACAGGCCAAATTACCTACTGTTTTTCACCAAACTCAGCAGTCATTTGTTGAATTTAGTCATGTCTGGAGACAAATACGTGGTTGTTTTTTTCCAGGCAGATGTCACATTATTATTGACCACTGCTACTCGCTGTACTTCAATCAGTCTTCAATCACATCCATATTAAACATTTTACAAATCACAAAAGTGATTCCTCTGAATGTTTTTCAACCATTTACTTGGTCGGGGTGGCAGAAATTTGTCTCCACCCTCTCTATACTGGGAGAGCATTAGCATGTAGAGAAACAAAAAGGAAAGGCTATTAGAGAAGCAAGATCTCAATTCAATTTTGGTTATGTGTATAAAGCACTTTATATTGACATACAGCTACACAGTATCCTTAAAGCATTTCTTTAAACACACAATGTCATCAACATAGGACTACATATGACACATTCATGTTTGTAGAAATAAGAGCTCAAAACCTGTGCCTCCTGTAGTAATTTTACTAAGTTTAAACACTGAGGAGATGCGTGAATGTTTTTTACAGACGTCTCCCTGTTAAACTAATCCAATCCGAATAGGGTTTTTGTCTTTAGATTTACATGGAGTCTTTCATAGGTGCTCCTTTGAGATTTTATTGTCGTCTGGCTTGTGTGTGTTTTTCTCCCTCCTCTCCTGCTGAATCACTTTAATACAGTTCCTCACCAGCACCTTAGCGGTGCTCTCATCATTTTAATCCTGTTTGAATACACATCTTCGTGTTTTTCCGGGCAGATGTTGCCTGACGTTGAAAAAAAAAAAATTTTGACTGCTGCAACTCGCTGTTTTGGTCTCCTAGCACGCGTCAGAGACCCACCTCCAGATATTAAACACTTCCCGAATGGCAAAACAGAAAATGGATACTTTTAAGGAATCTCTCAACCAATTACTCGGCCTGGGTGCTAAAACTCCGTATGCTACCTGGGAGAGCAATATGAGGAGTGGAAAGAAAATGAAGTCAATAAGAAAAGCCAGACCCCACAGGCTCCTTAAAGGGGTGATTATAATGGCAACTACAAGTATAGAACATTGCTTTATATTCACATATGTACAATAACATCAGCATTTTAGAAATAATGACTAGCTGTATCACTGTCAGTTCTTTAAAGATCTGATAAATTCTGAAAAATTTAAATATGACTTACTAGAAACTCACTCATCCTGTAGTCATTTTATCACTGAGGACACACAAGAAAATTTTGTACAGACGTCCCCGTGATGAACTAACCCTATCCAAACAAGGCTTTAGAGAATGCAGTGCAGGCTGCACTAGTTAAACTTTCATTCTGACTTTTAAAAGCTCTTGGACATGCGGCAAGCAGGTTCCCTCAGGCCAGGAGAACAGCCGTGGCAAACTGCGCTTGTAAAAGCTCTCTGAATCCCCATGCAGGCTGCTGCACGCATTTGATCTTCATCTTGGCCTGCTGAGTCTCTGATCCTGCACTTCTGCTCAGGGTGATAAATTGGAGCTACCTGTGCAAAGCTAATGGAGCATTTAGACCTTTCCTCATTCAAAGCTAATGAAGCATTGCTTAAACCTTCCTCCATTCATCTTATACTGTCCCAGTGCCCTTTAGGACTGTGTGAAAAGGACAAAATTCTAGTATTGCGGCTATATTGCTACGTATTGCAACTGCAACAATATATTAAAAATGTACTGGTAAAACAGTAATTTGGCATTTTTATGTGTATTTTTATATTCATAATCTTTTTTTTTGTTTTTTCGACACCAAAACAGTTCATATTCACTTTTACACGACCACCTTTTCTTATCCCTTAGAAATAAACAGGCTGCTTGTTACTGTGCCTTTACAACTGAC